GCTAAAAAAATGCAAGGTGAACCCCTTACAATTTGAGATTTTTCATAAACATTTAAATTTGCCCAATTTTACTACAAAAAGCAAGGTTAACCCCTTACAATTAGAAATTTTTCATTCACATCTTATTTTGCCAAATATCACTAAAAAAGCAAGGTTAACCCCTTACAATCTTAAATTTTCCAGAAAGATCTGATTTTGCCCAATTTCGCTAAAAATACAAGGTTCACCCCTTACAATTTGAGATTTTTCATATCAATCTGATATTGCCCAGTTATGCTAAAAATGCCAAATTAACCCCTTACAATCTTCAATTTTCAAGAAACATCTGATTTTTCCCAATTTCGCTTAAAAAAGCAAGGTTAACCCCTTTCAATCTACAATTTTCCAGAAATAACTGATTTTGCCCTAATTTGGCAAGGTTAACCTCTTACAATTTTAGATTTTTCATACAAATCTGATTTTGCCCAATTTTGCTAAAAATGCAAAGTTAACCCCTTACAATCTGAAATTTTCCATAAACACCTGATTTTGCCCTATTTTGCTAAAAAAAATGCAAGGTTAACCACTGACAATTTGAAATTTTTCATAAACATTTAATTTGCCCAATTTTACTAAAAAAGAAAGGTTAACCCCTTACAATTTGAAATTTTTCATACACATCTTATTTTGCCAAATATCACTACAAAAGCAAGGTTAACCCCTTACAATCTGAAATTTTCCAGAAAGATCTGATTTTGCCCAATTTCGCTAAAAAATACAAGGTTCACCCCTTACAATTTGAAATGTTTCATAAACATCTAAATTTTACTAAAAATGCAAGGTTAATCCTTACAAGCTGCAATTTTCCAGAAACATCTGATTTTTCCCAATTTTGCTAAAATGTAAGGCTAACTCCTTGCAAACTGTTCAATCAATACATGAAGTGTCCCATTTGACTTTTTTAAAACAAATTATTTTTCCAGTTTTTAGGGTAAAGGAATTTTCTCTTTTTCCTTTCTCTTTTGTTGTTGCTACATTTTGCGAATTAACTCATTCGTATGGAATGCTCATAGTCAATCAAAGAATATTTCACACATAGGGGCCTAAATTATATATTTTTAAATTTAATAGAGACGCATTGATCGTGCTATCATATACCATTCTAATACCATTGCGAGTTACTGTATTGTTTGGAATGCTCACAATTAAAGACACGTTATTTGAAAGATGCATAAATATATTTATATTACAATGTACATCTTTATTCTTTCCCGATATAATTTATGGCGTTTCTTACGTCAATTGGCAATCGCGTCATTATATAATGATAGTCAAATTGATCAAACGAAACTCCGTTTTGATTATAGTCAATTATGAAATATTCATTGATTTATGACATACACCTTTGTTTCAATTTTGATACTACCCGTAGACCTGCCGAGCAGCTGTAAATATCAAACTAAACCAAAGTATAAAAGATAGAGGGTAAAAAAAAAATCAAAAAGTTATGTGCTAGTCAAGCTTTCAGGGATCGGTCTGAGCCATAACAATGCCCCAGCCGATCCCTTAGTTCTCTTCCGGGGTCTCGGCGTCCCCGACCAATACACACTTCCTTCCCTATCCATCCATATAACCCCGGAGGGCCAGGCACCATGTAAAAGCAAAGAGCTAAGGGAGGAACAGGGCGGCCCCTAAGCCCTGATCCTCCGAGTGGACCACATGCCCTGAACCTGTACGAAGGCGCCAACCTGGAACTCGCGGACAGTACCAGCAGCAGTGCTTACCGATTAAGCTAAGGTACTGTTGGTACTTTACGACGGGAAATTAAATCTCTTATAGTGAATAATTGAACTCATACGTTAAAAACCAAAAAGACACCAGCGGGATTCGAACCCGGGACCCCGCTAACCGTGGACGACGAATCGTAACCACTCGGCCATTTCGTTACCTTAGAATTTTCCTTAAACTGAGAAAAGTTGTCTTTATAGGTAAGCAAACGCGCCAGGAAGATTACTGGGTCCATTTGCTTTACCTTAATGGGTAAAAACAAGTCGATATAATGAGCCCAGTGTGTTTGGTTTGTTAGGAAGCTGCATAACACAGCCTAATGTGCAAAACAGTCCTGTGCTAGGCGGATCATTACGCAACAATGAACACCGCAATTGTGTATTTTCAAAAGGCAGACGCGTAGATTTCTACTCTTTGTATCTGGGCACATATAGATTCTCACCTCCCTCTTCAGCTATTTCGACTTTCTTAAAAAGAAAAATAGAGACTGTCAGCGAATCTCCGGGAGTTGAAATAAGGATCGTCCCCTCGATAGACCTCAGACTCAGTAAAGTTCAACATTGGGCTCTTTTTCAACAGCTGTTTTTGCGGAAACTTTACATCTGGATTTTTTAGAAGCATCTGATTTTGCCCAATTTTAGTAAAATATGCTCCAAATTTTGCTAAAAAAGCAAGGTTAACCCCTTACCATTTTAGATTTTTCATACAAATCTGATTTTTCCAAATTTTACTAAATATACAAGGTACACCTCTTACAATTTAAAATTTTTCATAAACATTTCTTTTTGCCCAATTTTGCTAGAAATACAAGGTTAAGCCCTAACAATCTGCAATGTTCACCCCTTACAATTTAAAATGTTTCATAAACATCTAACCCCATACAATCTGCAATTTTCCAGAAACATCTGATTTTTCCCGATTTTGCTAAAAAAAAATGCAAGGTTAACCCCTTATAATTTGATTTTTTTTCATAAACATCTAATTTTGCCCAAATTTACATCTGGAATTTTTCAAACAAATTATCAGGTAATAACTGGATCATTAAACGGGGCAGGTGCACATCGGCCTTGGAGCTCAGACCATGTGTCATGCACTCCTCAATGCATAGATGATGCACATAACACTATGGGTAGTACAGGCACAGCTGGGGGTACTGCCCAAACAATGATGAACGCATTGCGTATGCTTAAAGAATTACCCACAATTCCGGTTTTTACCGTTTAGGTCTGGCTCTAATCACTTTACGCGATCCCCTGACGTCTCATACACTGACTTTAGGCAAAATAGTCAGACTTTCACGGTCTAGCAACCAGACTTTGACTCTTAAAGAAACATCGAATGAAAAGGGAAATATCGAATGCATATTGCAAAAGATCGAATGCAAACATACCGATGAAACATCGAATACAAATCGCTCGAAATGTCAAACATAATTATGTGTGAAACATTGCTCACATATATATCGCAAATAAACTGTAGAACAACACACACAATTGTATCGAAAAACATCGCACATTTAATGCAAAAAATCGAACATAATATTGAAAACATCGCACATATATATCGTCAATAACATCGCACATATAAATTGAAAATCGCATATAAATGTACAACATCGCACACATATATTGAACATCGCACATATATTGTAAAACATCGCACAAATATATTAAACATCGCGCAAATAATGAAAAACATCGCACACTTATATTGAACATCGCACATAAATGTAAAAGATAACAAACACATATTGAACATCCAACATAAATATTGCAAAATATTGAATATTGCAACGTTTGACACGCCATATTGGTCAACTATAGTCCTTGCGCGAACTTGGCCAAGGTTTCCTTAGGTGAACCTGCGGAAGGATCATGACCGATCAGAGAGAAACCCGGCCGCCCAAGGGGCCGAGGTTTGGTTCTCCCCGGCCGGCCCGTGCTCCAGTGGGGCGCCGGCTGTCTTCCGGGTGTAGTCGGGAGTGTCCCACAACAGAGTTTTGGAAGCATGGCGCCGCCGAGTGCCGCGCCAGCGCATGGGGGAGACGGCGCGGCCGGAGCGGGTCGCCCGGGGATGCCCGGGCTAGGTCTCGAATGGACAGTAAATCGGTGCAAAATTGGCTACGCCGGCCAACTCACGATTTACATGCCCTCAAATTCTTCGATATTTGAACATACTGTGGGTCATGAACTTGAGAGTTTGTTTTAAAAAAAAATAGAGGTGGAGGCCTAGCCAGGCGCGGTTCTACCCCTAGCCCCCCCCCCCTCAATTTTTGTCTAGCCCCCCCAAAATAAATTCCGTAAAAAAAATTGTATTAGCAAAAGAAGGATTGTGATGTACATGCGAACGGTCTCCCCTAAAGAAGAAATAGCTGTGACAAGGGTGCATTAGTTAATATAGTGTGAATGATTTTAGGATTTTATTGGCGCTCCCCATTGAAAATACTGCATGAGCCCCCCCCCCCCCCCCCCCTATTGATTTTCGGAGGCCTAATTGTCTGGAAAAAAATAACCGGTCAACATTTCAGCACGCCTCCCTGAAAAAAATCTGGATTCACCGAGCTAGCCCCCCCCCCCCAAAAAAATATTGGTTCTAGAACCGCGCCTGGGCCTAGCACAGGACTGTGAGCTTGTAGTTTTGTGCAATTTGGATGAAATTTGGGCCTATTTTGCTCCAGTTTGTTGTGGCATCGTTTTTCAAAATGGCGACGGGCTTCCTGACTACTTTAAGGGGTGATCATATTCGGATGGAAATTTCTCCTAAAAGTCATCGGTCGACCCCCCAAAAAAATTGGTAAGAAAATGAAAGATGAAGAAATACGCTTTAATTTGATGTGTCACACACTGTGTCTCGAACCTTTGGAGAGTTGTGAGTATTTTTCCTGAATTTCGGAAGTGGGGGCATTTATCACTGGGGTCTATGGCAATTTACCACTGGTCTGCAACCCTATGGGAACAATCTTCCAAACGTCGATTCCAAGGTGATTGAAATAGCACCTGTACCGATCATTATATATGGACGCAGCGTTAATGCGTAGCTAGCGCATCTCCCTTTATCATCTAAAAGCCAACCATTACATCTAGAATCGATTATCAATACACACTAGACAATCTACAGCTTATAACGGTACTATAGACTTTGCCTATAACTGTCCGAACCGTTGTTAACCGGCGTTCGATCCAGGGGCCGCGCGGCCGGCCGCGGGGAAGTTAAGAACACAAAGAATACACTGCTATCGGTCGATGAGATAATCCCCTTTTAATCTGCCTCTACATGACTGCATGATGTGTATTGGCGATGTTTCACTAGATTTCAAGGCGAGTATTTTATTTCACTAGAGGCGATATATCTTCAACATTAAATTTCACACGCCTTTAACAAAACCAAATTAGTCATTTACCATTCAATTTCAAAGTTTGGTCACCCTCTTTATACTCACGGTGACGGGCGTAAATTGCATCTTAATGGATGTTCTTGACCAAAATCATATAATTATATTTTTAATAGTGATATTATACAACATTTTCTCGTGAAAACGCCTACTGACATTGGGCGTTAATATCAGGGTTCTTTTCTTGTATATAACACTTCAAATCTGTTGAACGAATAGAGCAAGTTGAACCAAATTAGGCCTACATAATTAGGATGAAGATTGATTAGTTCAATAAAAATGCTTTGTATTCGTTCTTTCAAATTGTAAACAAAAATATAAACCATATTACGAATTTATTGTTCAGTTTCAAACATTGGACTGCATTCTGAGTTTCTTGTGAAACAGAAACGATTTAAGGTGTTGTAATCATCTTGGAAAATAAACTTGAGTCATGGCTTACGGATAAGAATACTTTTGAGGAATAAGCCTGTACACACTGCAAACATAAACATATCGTTGGTTTCTGCATGGATTCTTACATAATTTTACATATAGATTGATGTGTACTCAACTTTAATGATATTAAGGTTGCATACTCCATGCTCTTCAAATGATAGATTTTTTTCTCTCCTATATTGTATGTTTTGTTTTAAAGGAAAAAAAAAACTTTGTTCCGATTTTGGGCACGTGCAACCCCCTGAAAAGGTAAGTTCATTTTGCGCACAAATGAAATTGAAAGCCAAATTATTGTGGGGTCGCAAATAATTTGAATTTATATAATTCAATAACTTAAACGTCAGTGAAGGGGTTTTTTTTTCGTTTGATGTCTCATTCAAAAGTGAATAACTTTTATAGGAAAATACTAAGTGAAAAAAAATAGCGCGTTATTGCAACTTTGATTAACACACACTGATGACAAACCTAAATTGTAAAATACATTCACAATTATCAAATACTAAGTTATTACAAAAACAAACAGTGGGAAAACTATTATTGGCCAAACAATTGGGCATTTAGGCCCTATATGTCGACCACGTAATTATGACGGTATGAGGTCAAAACGTGGACGATTTGTATTTGATTGATCCAAGTTGTAAGGTAGTAAAATAAGGAATCACACTTAAAAACAAGTAAAACCAAACAAACTAATACCTGCTAAATTGGTTCATAAAGTGCCAAATGTTCAGTTCAAACTGATCGGCCTTATTAGATGTAAAGGCTGCCCGATGTCTTTTGGAGACAGGTGCAAAGGCTGGCCGTCACAAAACCTTATATTCTTGGCACCGTAAATAACATCCTGACGAGAACATTGCAGCAAGCCACACACAAAGAACAGTTTTCTGGGGCGGGAAAGCCTCATTCTTGATAAATCCCGTACACTACTCCAAGAGCATACAGAGACCCGTTCTTGAAAGTGAACTCGGAGTAAGTATCGTACTTCTCGTTCCAGACGCACTGGCTAGCAAGAGACGAGGCGTTCTGGTCGAGCGAGCCGATGGTCACGACGGCGACAATCTTGTACCGGTCGAAGTCCAACTCCTTGACTCTGTTCTTGATGGTGTCGGCGAGGTATCGGCAGAGATTCTGGCTCCGCTCCGGCTCGTATTTGGCTTCCCGTAGCTCCGCCTCCAGCACATCCTCGATGATGTTGCCAGCACGGTGCGACATGAACTTCTTGTCGGGCTCCATCTTGTAGGTACACTCGTAGCGGGCCTGGGGACGGGTGCCTCCCAGGGGCCCACCTCCTCGAGCCTCGCTGCTGCGCTGGGTGGACGCGGACAGTTTGCTGACGGAAACTTGGGCCATGGCGACGGCAGGGAGGAAGATCCTCGACAAGAGTATGTGGTATTCCTTTAAACAGTACAGCACGGTGCTATACAACTACAAGGGACAACAGGATACAAGTTCAAAGGTGTTTGACTTTGCTTGTCAGTGACTTGTCAATAGGTGTAGGCCTACCCGGAGGGCACATCCACCGTTCATGTGCCACACCAATTAAACCGTAACCGGCTCATGTGATGGTTGTCACGTTTTGCTTCAAACTCCACCAGTGCAAAAATGGAGAACAAAATGTTGAATGAACCGTGATGTTTCGAACAGCCAAGTTTGGTTAAAGTCAAGCACCAGCAGTTGACTGTTGGCAATGCTGGGACAACTATATGCGCCGCGGCCGCCCGGTGTTTTTTTGCAACCAGGGGCGATGCATTCGCATTGTTCATCGATTTCCATGCCTATTGTGTCTGTGCAGTGTAATTTTGAGCGGTCTGCATTTGGGACAATATTCCACAAGCGGCTTAGTGTTGGTCTGTTCTCACACAAAAGAAAGTTTCATGATCAATAAATATAACTGTGCGGTCCGCCAGTAGGCGAATTTGGAGGTGGCACGATGTGCTATTAATAAGTATCTTCTCGTATACAGTCATACGGTATGACCGTGCATATAATGAGGAAACAGGCTAACATTGACTGAATACTCATTATTAGAGTTTTTCCGTGGGTTGAACCGTTGAAGACGCCCAAAATAGAAGAAAACATGGATTTTTTTTTCATTAAACTTAAAACGTTCAAAAATCGTAAACAGACAGAATGAATTTTTTGAAGAGCAAAAAGACAGTTGTACTAGGCATATAGATACAGCCTACAGGGTGGTCCAACCAAAAAAACCGGAACCTCAGTACCCTGAGACTCAAACCACATCAATGCATGGAGAATCAAGAATGAAACCAAAATCGCCCGATTCGTTCCAGTAGTTTTTCTTTTGTAATGCGAGGTTTGGGGTTCGCTCGTACCCCGATCCCGCGCGGCCTGCCTGTTTGCAGGGCGGGGCGGGGCCGCCCTGCCCGTTTGATTATTGCAGGGCGGACCGGGGGTACGTTAGCGAAAGTTTTGGCCTCTGAATTATGAAACGTATGTGAGGCGAAATATATACCGGACGGTGGCGAGAAAGATAATAAAAAATACACCGGTTGGTATGGGATCGTTAAATTCAATATTTAACATTGTTTACCGGATGATTTTCTGTCAAATAAAGTTGGTCACTCAACAGTCAGACTGGTGTTTTTCGTATGCACCACCTGCCGCGATGCTAGAGGGCGCTATCGATAGGGACCAGCTGTTGTTTACATGTTTTATGTTGAACGTTATCACTCACTTTTACTTCATGAACTTGAACATGCCTAGCTAGCTAGCCGGCCAAGGTCAAACCGCACCACGCCACGTAGTCGTGCTAAAATATGCATAATGATATTGTTGATGTACCCTAACGTGGCGCGGCCCCTAACGTGGCGCACTTTGATTTTTCGCCTGTAGCGCCTAGCTAGAGCAAAAGTTTTAACTGAAATTTCACAGAAAGTTCTAAACACTCCCGTTCATAAATCGCGAGTTTATTTACCCGTTACAAAGTTATTAAAGAAAAAATTATTTTGGCGTGAGTTTCCGGTTTTATTTTCAAGTGCAAAGTGAACCCTTTGAAAATGCCCCGAAAAATAAGAAAATAATTTTCTGACAAACATCTGGCTGGGTTTGTAAGTAAAGATAATAATGATTTATCAGAATTTGTCAAGTTTACAGAAATTCTTAAATGTTAATTTGGAATGTCACGGTTCTGAGATTTATTCAAGTGCGCCACGTTAGGGAACCGTGCACTCCGCCAATTTGTGCCCAATTTCCGGACGCGACCGTTTTTGCATTTCGGATTAAATTTTATGAAACCGAAATTGTTCACAGAGGTTAAATAGCAAGCATTAAAAAGGTAAAAGTACCAGTATTTCACTGCGTGAATTTGAGGTTTATCAACAAAGAGGTTTGGCAACACTACACGAGGAAAGTTGGGTAAGCTTCGAAGTGCGCCACGTTAGGGAACACGACTATATACTTGCTACTAAAAAATGCTAGCTCTGTGTTTGGTATCATGGAGGTAGATTCTACCTCCATGTTGGTATCAACTGGTGCAGTCATGCAGCTGGCCTCGGGAACTCCATAACTTAGTTCGCAAATGTAAAACACTCTCGCAGGGCAGGGGTAAGAATTACTGCCTCCGTAAATAAAGGCCACAATTGAAACTAGCCCCATAAATGTGGCCTATTTACTGGACTAGGCCTACCTCCGTAAACATAGGCCATGCACACATCCACATGTACAAAAATGTGTCGCACTTTGCCAAATTTTGATTTTCACATTTAGGCTTAGTTTGTAGGATTGTTTTGCTTTAGAACTAGAAGCATACTCGCCCTCTTTATAGGCCAGTCAGAAAGTGCTGCCTTTTTCAGATGTCTAATTTTTGTGAAATTTCATGTTGCAATTTTGATACGCAAACGTGTAAAAATAAATCTGGAAATTTCCCGAAAAATAAACATCTGAAAAAGGCAGCACTTTCTGATTAGCCTATAAAGAGGGTGAGTATACGAAAGCCCATTAGCACCACTGCAAGTATATATGTTACAGATTATGTAATTCGTTATTACGGATTATTAATTCGTTATTACGGATTATTTAATTCGTTATTACGGATTATTAATTCGTTATTACGGATTATTAATTCGTTATTACGGAGAGCACGTGACCAGGGGCCTATGTTACTGACGCCGCTAGGCGGCGCTATCTTTGCATACAACCGCGCGTTTGCACTCCTGTGCCATACTTGCCGAGTAATGACTCAGAACGTATGAGTAATCCGTAATAACGAATTAAATAATCCGTTATAGCGAATTAGTAATCCGTAATAACGAATTAAATAATCCGTTATAACGAATTAATAATCCGTAATAACGAATTAATAATCCGTAATAACGAATTAATAATCCGTAATAACGAATTAAATAATCCGTTATAACGAATTAGTAATCCGTAATAACGAATTAAATAATCCGTAATAACGAATTAAATAATCTGTTATAACGAATTAGTAATCCGTAATAACGAATTAAATAATCCGTAATAACGAATTAATAATCCGTTATTACGAATTAGTAATCCGTAATAACGAATTAAATAATCCGCAACATATATACTTGCAGTGGCGCTAATGGGCTTTCGTATGAGTATGCTTCTAAAGCAAAAATAAACTAAGCCTAAATGCGAAAATCAAAATTTGGCAAAGTCAGCGACACGTTTTTGTACATGTGGATGTGTGGCCTATGTTTACGGAGGTAGTCCAGTAAATATAGGCCACATTTATGGGGCTAAAGTGGAACATGCACCCGAAAATGTAAAACTTCGTCAAATCATGGAGAAATAAAATATCTCCATGGTCATCAAATCATGCCGGGACTGCGGGAGCTATAGCTCCATGGTCAAATTTAGCATCTTTTTAGCATCTGGAAATGAGCTGAGCTGGCAACAGATCATGTCGGAATGTTTAAAAAGCATAAAAGGCGATAAGTTAATTGGGTCAAAGTTACTTGGACTAGTTCCATGCTAGAATTAACTATGGGTATTACGTGTAATGCGCCTATCAAATGTCCCCCCCCCCCCCCCCCCCCCCCCCCCCCCCGCTACCCCAGGTCTGATGTCGGGATTTGATCACGTTTTTCAGGCCCCAGGGTGGGGATTTTGGTCACTCAAATTACATTGTTAATATAGGCGTATACTGGAAAGGCAATCACTACTGCTCCCTTCGTATGTAAAGTAGGGGCATGGTCGGGGATTGTCACTTAAATTTTGCCCGAGGGGTGGGGATTTTGTCACTTCAAAAGTGACAATCCCCACGTCTTGGGTGGGGCAGCCCGGGAGGGGAGGGGTGGGGGAAACAATTGATACGACGCATAATACCCTAGTCCGAGTAACTTGGACCCAACTTATCGCCTTACCCTTTAGTTCTAGGGGTAGGACTAGACTAGCCCTAGTCTCAGGCCTACATCATGTATTTCCTAACAAAATTGGAAATGTTTCTCAGTCCCTGTGATTCATGTCCTTGTTCGCAAGGACTGATGAAGCAAAATGTGGCGTCGGGTTGCAACTTTCTTTCCAACATCCTTATTTATACTACACGATTACCAATATTTTGTCTTTTTATTTGTTTCCAACAATATTGTAGCTCGACCTTTGTAGAAAGGAATACAGCTCCTTTGCCTTTGGACACAATTTTGTATCGGCAAAAGAGATCAAGAAAATGCAAGAATCCGTCTGCCGTCTTGGTAAATCCACCCTCTATTTTAAAATTTATTTACTGTTTATTATTAAATGAATATGTTTCGTAGATAATGGCCAAGCCAGACAGTGCCCAGGACGGGGGTTGGGGATTTGTTGTTGTCATCGCAACCAGCATGTGCTTCTTTCTGTGTGCGGGCATGACAAGATGCGTCGGGGTGCTGTATTCAAGCTTGAAGGGTGAATTTGACAGCAGTGCCGCCATGACTGGAGCGCTAGCCAGCATTGTTATCGCCTGTGCACACTTCATATGTAAGATTTATAGTTGTATCTTGTAGATTAGTTCGAGTATATAGGACTCTTCAGCACCTTTTTTAACATTTGATTATGATCTGGCAATAGTAGAGTCCTAGAGCGGACCTTTCATGGGACTCCAAACAACTCATCGCGCACTCATCGCCCACCAAAATCATCAGATTTTACCCCCAAAACAGACCCAAAGTGCCAAAAAGCCACTTCGGGATCCAGGAGAAATCCTCACCCTAAATTCTTCTGGGCGGCCTGCAATTTTCCATCTCATCTCTTCTAAAAATAAAAACCGAAGTAGAACCAGAACCGATTCCAAGTGAAAACATATTCCCTCATCCCCAAATCCATTTGTGATTTTCCCAGGTCCAGTAGGTGCCATTATCTGTCGTCGTTTGGGTAGCCGTGGCACGATGATCCTCGGCGGGTCAACGACAGCAGCCTGTCTCTTCATCAGTGCTTGGGCGCGGACCATCTACCAGATGTACGCTTTGTTTATGGTGGCAGGTGAGTCATAAATCCTCCCCCAAATTATCAGATTATCATGTGGATTGTTACGCTACGCCTTTGTGGAAACAGTGGAGGACACTTGATGAACAAGATGAATCGAATCCAGTCTCGGGAAGTTTGGCACTGCTTTCCGAGAGATTCCGAGCATACTTCACGTGGTGTTTTTAAGCTGATGCGTGTGCGTGAGGTATGCTCGGAACGTTCTCGGATATCAGTGCAAGACTGAATTTGCTTCATCTTGTTGAAAGCGTGACTGCCTTGGCGGTTTGACTGTGCTTGTCTAGGGATCTGGACCGGTACAATTTCAAATGCATGTATGTTCTACTAATGATTTTTTGTTTCAATTTAGGATTTGGCTTAGGACTGGTAATGGTTTCTGGATTAGTTGCAGTGGCGGAGCGCTTCAAGAAGTATTACAAAGCTGCTGTCGGCGTGGCCAGCGCGGGCGTCGGGGTAGGATTGGTTGTGTCGCCGCTTCTCTTGCAGCTTCTCCTGGACACCTACGGATGGAGAGGAACCATGCTGATTACCGCAGGGATCACTTGCAACATCTGCGTCGGCGGTGCGCTGTTTCGTCCTCTGAAGTCCCTCAAAAAAGTCGGCGAACAGTCGGAACGCGTTGGTAGTTACACAACGATTCCAATGCAACAACTCAATCAAGAACAACACGATGAACCGACAACGCGTCGGCCTCGTGTCAAATTAAAGCAACAACGCAAGTGTCCGTCACTAATCACGAGTATTGCCAAATCCCTCGGGCTAGACTTGTTTCTGAGCAACTGCAGTTTTACATTCTTCTGTTGGATCAACCTGCTGGCGAACATGCCGTACATTTGCTACATCGTCTTTATCTTCCCGAGGGCATCAGCTATTGGTATCTCGGATCAGGCATCTTCGCTCGTGCTCAGCGCGTTTGGCATTGCCAGCATCTTCGGGCGTCTGGCCAGCGGATTCCTTGTCAACTGGAAATTCTCCAGCATTAAGGTGTACGCTGCGGCATTACTCATCTGCTGCGGCGGCACATTACTGACCCAGCTTGAAAGTTTCTGGAGTTTTGTCATATCGGGCGTCATCATGGGATTCTTCACTGGAGTGATGCAAGCATTGACCGTAGTAGTTGTCTCGAAATTCGTTGGGAAAGATAACATTGGAGCTGGCATAGGGATTTGCTATTGCATCAATGGTATCGGGGACTTGGTCGGCCCGATAATGACAGGTTCGTTTCTCCTTTTTTTCTAAAATCCATATACATGTAGACGAATCCGGGCACGTAATCACTGCAAACCCATGAGGCCCCCTTTAATGGAGAAACCACTGTGTACGCTAATGTGCAAAGCAATTGCCCCGTTATAGATTATTTGAACAATAGCTGACACAATGCTTTCGCCATTGAAGGGGGCCTTCATGATGAAAATAACAACATGCCTTGATTGGTCTAGAATACGGCGTGCAAATTTAACACTTAATCCTGAAATAGAGATCTCTCTATTTCTAATAGAGATATCTCTGTTTCTAGTATAGATATCTCTTTTCTGCTAGAGATATCTCTATTTAAAATAGAGATATCTCTTTTTCTAGTAGAGATGTCTCTTACATATCTCAAAAAGAAAGTGACAGAATGAGATGAAATATTTTTAAAATATGTGGCTCGTTCAATCTCATATAAATAACATAATATAAAGTATGTTATTGACTAGTAACTAAAAAATTCACGTAATTTGCACACTGTATTCCCAAGTTATGTCTATTTGGATAAAGAGATTTCAAAATTCAGCTGTCCACCACTGATCATTTACTGTTGATGAATACCCATTAAATACAATGAAACATGGACGTTTTCCCACCTCCGTGAATGAATGAAAACAGACAAAAATCGCCATCAATATTTCAGGGGGGAAAAAGAGTTAACTTGTTCCTCATATTCAAAACACAAAATCTGACGGTACAAAAGATGTTTCAGTTTTGAATCAAATGCTTAAATTTCACTCAGTTCAATAGCTTCCAATGGCATTCCATGAACAGCTATAAAAAATAGATTCTTTTTAGTAAAACATGCATAACTTCTGATAGCATGGTTCAATTTTAGTAATTCTTTTCTGGTTTTCAGATGAGTGGAAGAACATGCTCTTTTGAGACATGAGTTTATTCATGTATCAAATCTGATTGCTAAAAAAAAAAAATCATTAATAGGCCCTAAAGGTCACTTTCTTTTTGACTCAACCTGTAGAGATATTTTTATTTAAAATAGAGATATATCTTTTTTCTTAATGTTAAGTTGGCACATCTGAAAATACAGATGTATCTCTATTGCGAGGTTAAATGTTAAATTTACATGCCACACTATAAGTAACAACAAAAACGCCAATACATGGACATAGTCGAGTTTCCGAATCGAATCAAGTCACAAGCCAATGTGGCCCATCAGGCCATCGTTTATCTCTGGTTTCAGTAGCAAGAAACGACTGAGAATATTTCTAAACCCCTGCCCCCCTTGGATGGGATGCTAGTCCATCGCAGGTAACTCCCCAGCTAATGCCGGTACCCATTTATACTCCTGGGTGGAGAGAGGTTAGTTTGGGTGAAGTGGCTTGCCCAAGGACACAAGATACGGCCAGCGGCTGGATTCGAACCCCTGACCCTCTGATCATGAGTCGGGAACCCTAACCACTAGGCCACACTCCTCTCCGAGACACTTGCAAGGCTCAAGGTCTGTCGGCTCTTTCCCGACCCAGTCATTTTACATAATTCTTTTCAAATAATATAAATTATATTTCACCTGATTGTAACGACCATGCCCTTTCATTATAGGTGGTATCTTTGATGTGACTGGCAGCTACCCTGCAGTATTCTACTTCCTGGCCGGGCTGTTTTTCGTGGCGTTTTTGCAGATGATGTGCCTTCCAGTGGTCAACAAATCATCCCTGCCATGCAGAACCAACAGCAAAGTGGTGATCGTATAGAACGCAGAAGACATCTTGTTGGCAAAGCCTTTTTTCTTTCTTTTTTTTTTGGTGCTCCAAATCACAATTCGCATTTGAGAGTGGATGACTAGTGATAGACTTAAGATGACTTTTGAAGATGTTACTACAACTTTGCAAATGACTTATAAATGTCATCCTTCCAACCATTTTGGGGTTAACAACTGATTGCTTTAAAAATGTTGTTTGTGCACGTGATTATAAAAAAGACGAGAAGACAGGATTAAGTGGAGGTGAAATTTTACAAGTGGAAGAGAAGGAACAAGCTAAAATCTTGTTTTATTACTTTTGATATTTAAGATCTTTTACTTTAATATTGACTTTAAGATTTATTACATGAAGAGTGATTACTTTTATATGACTTATCAGCTGATCTAGCTGGTGTTTTCTGAAATGTGAACGTCAAAACAACTGATCTCTTTAAAAAAGATTGTGTTTGTGCAAGTGATTTAGGGTGGCATGGGTGACTAGTGGGTATTAAAGCACTTGCCTCTCACCACCGGGTTCGATTCCCAGCTCGGACCACATGTGAGTCGAGTTATGCGTTGATTCTCTCCTGTGCCACAAGGTTTTTTTCTCCGGGCTCTCCGGTTTTCTTCCCTTGGCAAAAGTCAAACACGTTTGATCTCTGGCTGTGCTCCGAGGTGATATATTGGTTTTATGGCGGCAGCCTAAGGCGCCTTTACATGCCTTCGGCCAGCTCGACCACGTTGTAGCCGCGTCCTTTGCAATTCAGCTTTAAGGATGACTAGCCCCCAATTTTTTTGTAGTAAAAAAAAACAATTTAAGTAATATTTTAGTATCTTCGCAAATTTTGTATAAATTACCAACTCTCATTTCAGCTCATCTGGTGCTGCCAAGTATTTGTTCATTTGCTTTATCAGTTATATTTTAGTTTATTATATCAGATTTATTGTGCAATTATTGGTTTAATGTTTGAATAAATTTGAGTTATTTTCGCCTCTGTGAAAATAAATCACTTTAAAGGTAGGCTCTACATGTAGATCCTTTGTGCTCAAAATCTAAAGATGGGTGCTCAACAACTAACCTGATGAACTTTTAGCTCTGTCAAAGCTGCATATTCAGAGAAAACACTATTCTAGGATCGGGCCGCGCCCAAAATCAGCCTCCGGGACACTTTCGCATTCACCTGATTGCAGTTGAGCAATGTCAGGCACTGAACTGACAAATAATAGCAACCACACGCGTGTGTGCATCATGTTAATGCTTGCTAGTACCCATTCACGGATTTGCCAAATTACAAACAAACTACTAACGGAAATTTCCAAAAATGTGTTACTTGACACATATTTGGAAATGGCCTTTTATTGTTTTGTTTTGTTTTCAAAATGACAGCCTGCAAGAAAGAATAATTTCACTGGAAGTTTAGTGCCATTACTATCTTAAACCAAGTAGCTTTCCAACAATCATTTTGTCGATTACTTTCTGGATAGCTGCAAATGATGTACTCTATCTTTAAAAAAGCTATGAAATAACAAAGCACGATGGTAATTTATGAAAGTCGTCAAATTTTATTCCATTCTTTTCCTTTCTGAAATGTTAATGTTACATTACATGTAGCAAGCAACTAAAAATCAAATATGAAACATGGTTTTGAGAGACCTCAGATCACATAACATGAAGTATTTACATGTAGTTTGTATGCAAACTAAAATACAAATTATATTTCCAGTGCTTAAGAAATAGCTGAACGGACTGGTCACTGTACATCATGTAAGTACATGTACCATATGGAGTCATCAGAATAATGAAATTAATACAGACAACAGTATCTAATACCAGCAACCCTGCACCAACAATAAACAATGACATTTCCTACTTACGCTACCAACACTGCATACTCTATGGACAAATTGAAGCACAACTCTTTTTTCCCCTGCATTTTGTCTCCCTGACCTTGGCCCCACCTTTCACAAACATCTCAACACCCCCCAAAAAAGTGTCGCATGAAATTTGGACTCCTATAAAATCTGGTCGCACATGTGACCTGTCACTGTCCTTCATGTAATTATGTCCACTAAGGCATGCGCGACACAATACAACGAATCCTTTTTTTATAGACTCCAAATTTCGTACTACACCAGCTGTGCAGGATATTCTTTTCAACACAATGGTCTCAGGCAACACAATTATACAGAACACACACACCAAGCGTATAATAATAACCAAGCGCGACGGGTCAGATGCATTTTACACAAAAGCCGTTGGTCAAATTTGTACTCGTGCATCTATGCACTAGTGTTCACTTTTCCCCAAAATCTGTGGACCAAATCAATTGACAATAAAAAAAGAGAAAAAAAAAGAACTATGTCTGTTTGATGAACAGAACATAGGGCTTTTCCGCATTATAATTTTTTTCTTATGGATTTATGCTTTTTTGGCAATGTGCAGTCGTGTATTAAATGATAATTTCATGAACAAAATGCATTAAATGTACATACAAAGTTTCAACAAATGGGCCTTGTAGTTCCGTAGATATAGGCCACTGAAAAACGCACCTTTAAGATGACGTCACATGACATCATCGTGACGTCACTCTTCGGGACACAACTTTGCTAATAGGGACTATGCATATGCTAACTTTGAATGGTGTACGACAAAGTTACATGCCCAAAATGGCTGTGACAAAAATCATTCACAGAAGAAAGAAAAAAAAATGAGAACAAAAACAAAGGCTTTTCCGCATCATTGCTTAAACGCCAAAATTAGAAAAAAAGAAACACAGAAAAGAATGCTCAGTGTGTTATCAATTACAGAAAAAATGAAGGGGGAAAAAAAAACAAGAGCTGTATAGTTTACAAACACATAATAGGAAACATCAAAGGTAAATTGGATGAGTTCACTTGTTTTTTACCTTTTTAAGTTGATATCCAGACCTGGCATATGCTTTCTTAAGTGTAACATCGGTTTTTGTTTCCTTTAAAAAAAGGCACTCATACAAAAAAACTCCAAAAGTATCTGTTACAAAGGGAAACTAAACCATTGAAGCAAATTGTTACAGAGGTCTAGTGGCCTATGGAATAATATCTGCTGCAAATTACTAGCCCCCAAATCAACATTGAAGAGACTATCACAAAAATACAGGTGGGGGGGGGGAAGCTGTTTGTAATTCATCACAAAAAAGACAAATAACCTATTTTTTTGTTTATACAAATTTATAATCGAAAACATCATGGGTGATTTTGATGAGATCATTTTACTAAGAATTTTATTATAATTAAGAGGATTTTTTGACTTCGGTTTATGAAGTGTCGAGGTCGTTTTTGTTTCCTTTCAAAAAAAGGCGCTCGTACAAAATATCCATATATTATAAGGGACACTAAAAACCATTTACGTACAGCATCTTATTCCACACCTGATTTTTTACCTGATGTATTTCGGTTTTAGGTTTGATTTTTAATTTCATCTTCAAGTTTTTGCGATCTGAAGGCGATCCAATTTTGCTTGCAGTTGCTTAAAGTTCTTCAAGATGGACTGTACGGACTGTGGCATGCCGGTCGTTGCCTCCAACTCAACTTTGTAGTTGGCGATGGCATCTAGGCACACATTGATGAACTGACGTCTGAAAAAAAAGACAAGCATAGTAAAGCTGGTGGCAAAGTGCACAGAATTCCATATGATTGATTCAGAATGGCTATTCACTGGAAGTCTTTTCATGCATCTTTGTCACCTAGTGGGCTAGATTTAGCCCATTATGGGGTAATCCTATATGATAGCACTGCCCAGATCTCAAACACCAGCCACCAACCAGGCCAAGTCACAAGTGACAGTCAGTCGGTCACAAAGAAAATTATAGGATTTAGAATTACTTATGTACCTATGAGATTTCTTTCTACCTAATAAAGGTAGGGGTTTTTTTTGGGGGGGGGGAGTTTTTATATAAAAAGAAATAAGATTCATAATAATTTATCAATTTTTATATTTAACTTAAGACACACAGTTGCAAAATCAGAAATTTGTATCCAAAGGTGTTTGAAAATATAAAGAAATTCAAAAGTGGTCTTATTTTTGTCAGTGGTAGTCAGCTATGATTTTTCCCCTTTGGTTTGAATATGTCCGATTATGCGCATGAAAGCCCGGCTGGACGCAGATGGTAAATTACAATAAATATCCAAATAATATCCAAGTATGACCCCCCGTCTCAATGGCGGCCATTTTAAAAACCAACATTTTGGGTTGTTTTAATCCTTTTTTGTTGATTTTTGGCCAAAATGTAAGAAATCAAACTGCTAGGAGACTTTTGAATGCATTACTACAAAATACAACTCTCGTTTCATGAGAAAACACCTTAGAAAGCTATTGGGTGCATTTATGGTTGTCATAGTAACCGACCAAAAATGACACAAATAGTGCAGGGTTGGTGCAAAATTTATGTATATGAGGAACTTATTTGATATTTCATTTTCAAGCAATCCATGCAATCAGTTATTCACTATTCCAAGAGACCGAAAATTATTTTGGTATAGTTCAATAAAATATGCCTTCAACTGAGTTATTGCTAAATGTTTCCTAGCATAAATAGTGACATATTATTTGGTATATTATTCAAGTATCATTATGATCAATACGATTTTTATGCCAACACAAAATACAATATTCTGACTATTTTGAACGCCGGTGATCGATTTTACACGAGTTGAAAGGGTTAATACCTTTCATGGATGGCGACACGGCTGGCTGATTCAGCAAAAGTATTCAGCAATGCGCAGATGACAATGAGTAGATGTAACGGCTGTGCACAGGTTTGCCAGAAAGGATCCTGCAAATAATAGACATGGATATCAATAATGTACACATCTGTGAAGTGTTCTGGCAAAACGAGACGGAATTGGGCACAGGCCATAGTGGAGAAAAAAAGAAAGAAAACTTTTTTTTTTAATTTTCATATTTATGATATTTGTAATCTTTGATACGTCTACTACACATATTCTTTTAAAAAGTAGTACACAAATTGTGGAACAAAAGTGTTTTATTCAGGAAAAAGAATTGACATCTTTTCTTTTCTTGGAAGAGGATAATAACATTACGACAGCTGTTTGTGTATGATTTCTGTTTGGTCACAAAATAGTCGTTGAATCACACCGGCCCGTCATTTTGAAAATGGCTCTGTCCAACTTGCTTCGGAATCACGCGGCAACTCTAAAAATTCTGTCACGAGTAAAATAGCTATTCATTTACCTCAAACACAAAACTGTGAGTTTCTTGGAACCACCTAGATAAGTTGTGCAATGACAAGCTCCAAGACTTAGCCGGGGAAATAGTTCATTTTCAGTCGCTACCCCACAACTTTGGAATTTGCAGGATTGAGGCTATATGCTATTTTTCCATGAGGCCAATTTGATGATTTTGCCGGCTTGAGGCTACATCCTAGCAAAAAGGCCTAGGGAGTTAGAGTTAATATGCAATCAAGTGTGACCCAAATGGAGTGAAGCCATTGCATAAAGTTTCGTGAAAATGGGCTGCTGTTCTTTAAGTCTGGAATTAATGGAATCAGTCAGCGAACCTTTGCCTTGAAGTGCCCATCATACACAGACAGCATCTTGGGAAGTCCTACGCCCATGTCCAGGAAACATCGAAATACCCAGGAAGGATGCCAGCTCAACTCACAACTTTTCTTCTCCAGGTACAGGATCAAAAATGCTGGCAGACGGAAATGTACAAACAATTTAAGGAAAAGTCTTTTCTGTCTTTAAGCTTAACCATTAGTTCCTGTACCGCCCCAAACCGCCCTGCCTGTTACTCCCTTGTACCGCCCGAAACCCCCCAACACTCAATGGTTGTATGGATTCAGAGAATAAACACAATGTAATACAATGTCGTGCAGATGCTAATGGGTTAATCAAATATTGTCAAAGTCCTAACTTTCCTTTAAAAAAAAAACCCAGAAATTTTTGCACAAATGAAAAATTGGAAATATACAGCCCTACGTTATAAAAAAAAAAGGAAATTTATTGTGGAGAAAACAAGTGAAATGTCGCATTTCCATCCATTAGAATCTGAATGTCTGCAAGAATATAAAGTATTTCTTTTTCTGTAGCACAGTGCAAATTCAAAGTTAACACTCTGAATGGGAATGGGAAATTTTGTGAAAAGAATTAGCTTTCGCATTCACATTTTGCATTTCGTGAACATGTTTTCCCACTTGTGTGAAAAGGCGAGAACATTTTTTCCTAGTGTGGGAAATTCTTTTGACTTTCTTTGGAAGAGAAAATGTGTAAAGAGAAACTCCATTCCCTTTCATATCATGGAAGCAGATCCCTGTTCAAGAAAATGTAACTCTTTCATTGACTTTTCATATTTGTGGTCTGAATGTATTATTATACTGCCGTCGAATTCTGTGCAACACATCGGTCCAAAAACTTATTAAGGCTTTGTTTGAGATAAATATGCATGGGTTTTTGAAAAAAAATGTAAAAACACCTCTCCCCCCCCCCCCCACCGCCCTGGCTCTAAGGATTGAAAAAAAAATCTTACCTAAAGGGAAGTAGCGTTCTGAGGAAGAATATATGCGTCCTAGCGCCTGAAGCTTCTTGGCAAGGATGGTCATCCTACCATCGGCTGGTTTGTCAATGTTCTCACTGAGCTCTGGACACAAAAATCATGGCAACAAATAAAAGGAAAAACATCTCAGTCCATATTAGGTGAGAAGATAAAATGTGACCTGTCACCACAAAATGAGCTTAAAGTTAGATTTTTATTTATCTTCAGTTAAACTTGAATCCTCGATCCTGATTGGTCGATCCATGGCAACAACAGTGTGATATGAGGCTGTATTGCACGGTCCATATCGCACCCTGCGTATTGCACCATTCCAAGATGCCACTGACATTCCAGCTGCATGCGCTAAACCGCTAAAAGGTTCGTGTAAAGCGATGGTCCAACTTTACAGCGTGTCAAGTTTGCTTGAAGATAAATTCGTTATCACGCTCGCGCTCGTGGAACACGGAAAATGTAGTGCGTCTGTGTCCCACATACCACAAGGCCGGACACAGAGGCACTACATTATTCCGTGTTCCACTCGTGCTCATGGGATAACTAATAATATCTATATTCTGCAGAACAAGAGCTTTCCAATGGTCTATAACATTCAGGGGTACTGAGTTCAGTAACGGAAATGTAGACCACCAACTTACTTGAAGTGGTAAAATTGATTCTTTAGAAAATGGCAATAAAAAATCCTGCAGTTGTGTTACAGTGAGTGAGCAGTCAACTAATAAAACAGGATGAAAATAAGTTTCAAAGATGTTTGACAGAACAAACAAAAGTGTAGAAAGGTTAATGAGGGCTTTAAGATCAAGGTTCACCTTGAAACAAACAAAATTGATCCCCCTTCAGATTTTGGTTTGCCCAACTGTACTGCAAAATGGCAATTTCCGACTTTCAGCTCATTTTCTGGTGACAGTTCACAAATGTGCATATTGGCAAAAAAATACACGGGACGATAGCAATATCTATTTACACCTTAGTAAAGCTGGTTTCAAAGCAATATGGTCTAAGGGCTGGGTAGTCATGTGGGTCAATTTTTGGGGGGCAAGGTGAGGACTTTGCAGGTGTTAATGGCTGTGAATGAGTGATAGGCCATCAGCCTCGGTCAAAAATTTTGGCCAGTGGTATCAAACGAGGGGAATAATCCTCATAGCAATTTTTGGCAAGGTATACACCTCCAGAGTTGGAAAATATGTGATAGCATTGCAGCGGTGGCAGCTTTTTGGGTGTTATCACCCTTTTTTTGCAAAAAGTCCATCAAAATGCTTGTTACCACTCTAGGGGCGGTATACCTTGTGCAAGCGCACTATAATCATTTATGCCCTGATTTGATACTGACCAAACCCCAGGCTGATGGCCCATGAGTCAGTCAGTTAGTCAGTCAATCAGTCAATGAGATTTGTTCAGAGGATTGTAGGCTGACTCTCTGCGACCAACAAAGTCCAATTATTTTGTTCAAAGGGAGACTTTTGCAAGTCTAATTCACAAGTGACAGTCAGTGCATGAGTCTCTCAGTGAGTCAGGTACCAGCAACAAAAATCTATCACAATTATCATAAATATTACCTAATTATCATAATGCTAAGTATCGTAGATTATAATAAGCACTGTTTTGCTAACACGCAATAATTACTAGAATATTTATTATTACGGAAAATGGTACCTCAGGGAGCCTAAATTTTTCCAACTTTAAAGGGAAGATACAACATTTGCAAACGCCCCAAAACAAAATGATCAAATTATCAGAAAATACCTTACTGGACTGTTAGGGAATGACAGTCTAAAGCATCCTGTAAAATCGTGGCTCCTGGTGTGCTGACATTTTAAAAAAATTGTATTTTTCAAACTGCTTCTAATTTTCCATAATTAGTTATTTTCTTTACACTAGATTACACACCTGTGAAGGGGTACAAGCCTGCTAGACTGATTCTCTGACCTTACAATTCCCCAAAGTCTGTAAATTCTCTGTTTCATCTTAAGTGCATAGCTGCCAACTTTTCAAAATCCCAATTAGTAATCAACCTGCGCAGTCATTTTCAACTGCTTGTATATTAACAGTGTATGTACCAGCTTTACCAACATCGAGTACAGGTACATAATGTACATGGTTTACATGTACACATACATGTGCATACCCTTCTTGTTGTGATTAAAAATGTACTGTAGGCCATGGGATAAATTTAAAAAAAAATAAAAAATTAAAAATTTAATAATTTTTTTTTAAAAATTAATTTGGTTTTACTGTCTGTATTTGTTTGTTGAAGTCAATACATAATGACAATAATAACATGAGCGCATATTGTATTGAGATGTATGCTATCGATGTTATCGTATGTTTTTACACACAATCAATGATTTAGGGCCACCATATGCAATAGAAATATCCCGCCAACATACCTTGCAAACGCATGCTGATTTATCTTTTCTGGACGTTGTGATAAACTCAAACTCTATTACCAATTCTTCCAACCATACTCTTATTAAATTCCATGATCAAAATCTCGCACTGATGGGTCTCATCCCGGCGATAAGCGACCAATTGTGCTCACGATCGTCACTGAAAAGTAGTACACATAACCACACATCATCCACGAGGTGCACATGCACAAATAATGACGCACCATTGAAAAATATTTTTAGTCTGGTCCTCAAGTACTCCACTGCGCACACCGCATTAATGTTTATCAGGTGCTTGACCGCATCGCTTATTAGACTTGTCACCAGTCCATCCATTATCGTAACATTTCGCCAGAAGTTTTCGGGCAAAAACGATACTTTACAAGTATTTTTTTTTTCGTTAGGTAGAAAATGGGAAATTTGTAATTTTTTAGTGGCAATTCGTATTTTCATAATTTAACAAACGATTCGCAATAATTACAAAAAATTCGTAATAGTTGGCAGCTATGTAAGTGGGGTCAGGGAACCGGACTACAAGTACATGAATAGTTTTCTTGGTTTTATCAGCATCTACAAGCCCAAAACGTGATTTGCTATAACATACTAATCCTTCAAATCCATTTATTTCTGAAAATTGCAGCAAAAGCAAATGTTGTACATTCCCTTTAATGACCCCTTACCCCAATTTCCCTTATCCTACACCCACAAATTTTGGTATATTATTTTTTTGGGACCACGAGTAATCGATCTAGCCTATCTGAGACAGTAAAGTTTGCCTCTAAATAGAGTTGTGACTTTAGGGAGACACTGAAATGTCTCCCTAATGTCCGGTATCTCCCCATTAAAGGTATAACTTGTGACAAAAATAAAAGTTTCTTTTAGGGTACATTAAAGGGAATGTACAACATTTGCTTTTGCTTCAATTTTCAGAAATAAATGGATTGGGAGGATAAGTATGTTATGGCAAATATTGTTAATATGACTTGTTTAATGTTTTGGGCTTGTAAATGCTGGAAAAACCAAGAAAACCAATCATGTTCTTGTGGCCTGGGTCCCTGACCCCACTTAAGATGAAACAGAGAATTTATAGACTTTGGCGAATTGTAAGGTCAGAGAATCAGTTTAGCAGGCTTGTACCCCTTCACAGGTGTGTAATCAATTGCAAATAGTTTTTGCAGTTTTGCAGCAAAGAGTTTGCAAGCAGTTTTTGAAAGAAAGCCAGTTTTCTCCAACACTAGTCGGCTGACCAGCGTTGGAAAAATACCATTTTTTGTTGAAAACGTCAGCACACCAGGAGCCACAATTTTAAAGCATGCTTTAGACTGTCATTCCCTAACAATCCAGTAAGGTATTTTGTGATAATTTGATCATTTCATTTTAAGATGTTTGCAAATGTTGTATCTTCCCTTTAAACAAGACTTGACCACATGGACATTTTATTCAAATATTATATTGTTAATATTTCACAAGTACTCCCATCAAAACATTAGTATTAGAAAAAAAAACAATTATACCTTTGTCAATGATTTGTTGCCATAGCGACTGAACCAGTTGCTGGTCGTAGTGACCGGCGCAGTGAACGATAGCGAGCTGGCATTCGTACAGATCAAACACGTCAGCAAAGTCTCCATACAACTGTCAATGAAGATTACGGAAATTAGTTTGGTAATGAACTGAAAATGGCGGGTATCCAGTTCCATTTTGGAGGTTTAAAGCTACAGTCCATCATTTGCAGCTATCCAAAAAGTAACTGACGCAATTATTGTTAAAAAACATACTTGGTTGAAAGATAGTAACGGGACTAAACTCCCTGTGAAATTATTCTTTCTGGCATGCTGTCATTTTGAAGAAATCAACGAATTAAGGCCTTTCCAACGATGTGTCTAAAGATGCACCCTTGTAAATTTCCATTAGAAGTTCGTATTTTTTATTCGGCGAAGCACGCAAGCGTTGACACAATGTACACGCGCGTGCGGTTGCTTTAATTCGCCAGATCAGTGCGCAACATCGCGTAGCTGCAATCGGCTCAGTGAGAACGTGTCACAGACACTGAATTCAGGCCCAATTCAAAACATGATTCAGCAACTTTTGATTTGAAATCCAGATCATAGAATTCTGTTTTTCTCGGAATATACAGCTGAAGCTGAGCTGAAACTTCATCAGTTAGTTATTCAGCACCCTTCTTTAGATCTTGAGCACTTTTGTTGCTTCGAACGAACAAAATGCACAAATAACAATTGATGGACTGTACCTTTAAATATCCAAACCAGGTGCAACCTTTTGAAAGGGCAGCGTAACTTTTAATTGGAGTTGCCGATGACAGTTAACACAAAAAAGGTTTGAAGCCCAAGGCATGCTTGATTTATTACCAGATGTCGTATTGTTGTTCATGCATGTTCGACAAGCACTTTCATAACAAAGTTGTGGGCACGTCATACTCTTTCCACATGACTAACTCTTAGCCAAGCAGTCATATTTCATGTATACAAGTGTATTCAGATTGTCATTTCCTCTACTTTAATACTCCCATCAATTTTACAGGGTGACAGTAACTATTATCCCAAATCCAAACTTATTTCCTGAACTTTTCTAAGCCTGCCGGAATTGTCCTGATCCCTCTACTGTACAAAGCTTCTTTGGCAAAATCTTTGTACTTGGGTCATTCCATGTCAAATCATCAATCGTTCAGGTCTTTACTTAGACAGCTCTGATCCTACCTTGGTAATATCCACTAATTCTGCATTCAGCTTGATAAGTGCAGCTTTGAATCTGGGGTTTGCCGTGCTGTGACGTGCGATAGCCTCGTACACCTGTAACTGCAGCCGAGCCACCTGATGAACGGAGAATAATAATAAAAATAATAATAGTGGGTATTTACAAAGCGCATGTATCCACCAGGACCGGTGCTCAAAGCAAACATCATTATTTTACCCCTGCTCACTGGGCCCATGAAACATTCCCAAATACCATATCAGCTCCCTGGGGAGTATACAGCTCCATGCAGCCTGTTTTTGGCATAAGGACGCTAATTCAATTACAACAACCATCTCTGCCCTCACAGGCACCCAATTACTCCTGGGTGGAGAGAAGCAATGAGTGAAAAAGTGCCTTGCCCAAGGGCACACGCACCATGACCGCAGGCTGGACTCGAAAACACAACCTGCAGCTTTACCTGCTTAACCACGAGGCCACAGCGCTCCACAATTATCCCTGCCCTTTCAGGGGTGTGAGTGACCACCGATAAAAATAGCTGAAAACAGCTGAAAAAGGTGTAAAAAGTCGAACTTCGGAAATCTCCTTTACTTATATACACAGCAAGTGAAGGAAAAAAGCTGAAATCCAAAACAAAAAAAGCTGAAATTAGCTTTAAAGCTGAGATTTCACACCACTGCCTTTACAACATCACAACATCATTGTGTGATGGGTCTAAGTGAGATGTCACAGATTTTGGTACAATTACATGTTGTGTGAGTCCACAAATTAACTTTCAGTATCAACAATACGTAGTCAAGGGAGGTTCACACTCCCCCTCCCCCAAAAGGAAATGCAAATTCTGGATGCCATGGCAAGTTTTCCCGCTGCGAATTCACAAAAAGTTGAACACATTTCAACTGCGGAGAATTTGCTTCGCATCCGTGTGAATTATTGAACAGCCTTCATTGTATACACATTGGGACAATTTTATCTTCACTGACCCCTTTAAATTTGGCAGAGATGTTGTCTCGGTGTACAAAATTGTTACAGTAACTTGAGTTAATCCTGGAACGAAAGGGCCACTGTCTGAACGAAATGACACCATCTGAAACATATGACAAAAAAAGTCATATCTCGTAGCAATTTCTAAGGGGATTTCGTTTTGTCCAACTATGTATCAGATATGCTTAAAGGTACATAGGATCCTTTTGTTTTTGTGCATTTTCATTTGAAGCAACAACAGTGCTCAAAATCTTAAGTATCAAAATAAGCTGATAAAAATTATATAATAAGATTCAATAACATCATTCTAGTATGTAAGAAATAGAGTACAGAAGTATGACGTCATTTAGAACCAGAAAGTGTAGTGCAAACGAATGAAGTACGCCCGCGTATTGGTTCATGGGATGAATCACGTGCTAATGTCTTTCACACACATTTTGTGCGCGTGACATATTCATTTCGGTACTCCATAGGCCTGTTATTAGGTCACTATTCAATCCATTTGGCAGGAATACAATTTTTTGCTTCATTGTATGTGGATTGTTCCTTGCCGGTAACTTGGTTGTATGGGTATCTGACCTCTAATTTCTCTTCCAGTTCTTGCAGGAATTCCCCTTCACTGCTGGTACTCGTTCTCAGGTTACTACTCTTGGCGCACATGACGGCTCGAGACAGGTATTCAATACGCTGTTGTAATTTTACATCAGTGCTGAAAACCATGGAAAAAAATGGAGAAAGGCAATCAAATAAACACATTCACCCTCCTACTGTTTTAACAGTCACAGACAGTCAAAAATTCCATCCACTTCCCCTGCCTTGTCTTTTACACAGGCAGGTCAACAACAGTCAGATTATATTTCAAGCAAGCACTGTGACAAGTCAAATTCAGTCAGCAGACAAAAGCAGGCAATTGGTATGAACAGCTGGCTTATCAATCAACTACAGTCAAAGCATAGCTGCATCAAGTTACATAAACAGTCACAGCCAGTCAATCCTGCTTTATGCAGGCAGGGAGCACTTAACCTTTAAAAACAGCTACTTAACTGATTTTGACTGAAAGGACAACTTAGCAAAGAATGTATGTTTGCATAGGAGAGTTATTTCTCAAAATGTGAAATGCGAAATTATACAATCTGGCTTGCTCTCATTTACAACAAATCAAGAAATGTAGGTGATTTCCAGCGATCAGTCAATTGTCTGATTTTTGGAAATAAAGACAAAATCAGGTTTTGTGATCGAAGTGGAGTGCATGGTTTTTCACTGTTTTCACGAAAAGTGTAATATCCACTGAGCTGAAACTTCAACAGGTTAGGTTTTGAACATTTTTCTTTGGATTTGGAGTGGTGTTATTATTGGAAACAAACAAAATGCATGAACAGCAAATGATCCTATATGCATTTAAAGCTATAGTCCATCATTTGCAGCCATCCAAAAAGTAACTGGCGTAATTATTGTTGAAAAACAAACTTGGTTGAAAGATAGTAAGGGAACTAAACTCCCTGTGAAATTATTCTTTCTGGGAAGCTGTCATTTTGAAGTAATCAACGAAAGAAGGCATTTCCAACGGTGATTCTTAAGAAGCACCGTAGGAAAATTAAAATTAGTAGTTCGTTTTGTTATTCAGCGCAGCGCGCACAAGTATTGGAACGATGCACACGCGCGCGCGGTTGTTATAATTCGTCGGATCAGTGCGCTACGTCGCGTATAGCTGCAATTCAAAACAATTCAAAACATGATTCAGTAACTTTTGATTTGAAATTGAGATCTTAGAATGCTGTTTTTCTCGGAAGGTACAGCTGAAGCTTAGCTGAAACTTCATCAGGTTAGTTGCTCAGTATCCTTCATTAGATTTTGAACTCTTTTGTTGCTTCAAACGAACAAAATGCACACATTACAAATGATGGACTGTAGCTTTAAGCTATCTTCAGACGAGCCCAGCCATTTCACCTGTGTCTCTCAGCCAGTTTGAGCAGGATCCTGGCCGCGGCGGGGTAGTTGCCCGTCTTCTCGTGGTACTTCCACAGCAGATCCATGACATGTAGGTTATCGGCGGAATACTGGGCTGCACGCTTCATGTACTGCTCCACGTAGGGAGACGTGATCTACAAGCAGAAACAAAATACTGCAAATTAAACTTGCTCGATCCCCCTGGCATGCTGGCCATATTTATACAGTCAGTTATTTACAGGGGTGTGAGTGACCACTGATAAAAATAGCTGAAAATAGCTGAAAAAGGTGTAAAAAAGCTGAACTTTGGAAATCTCCTATACTTTTGTACACAGCAAGTGAGAGAAAAAAGCTGAAATCCAAAACAAAAAAAGCTGAAATCAGCTTTAAAGCTGAGATTCCACACCCCTGTATTTAGCACACTGTTTAGTTGACCTAACCAATAAAAAAAAGACAATGACCTCATATGACCTCTAGATGACCTTTGACCTCAAATGTCTCAAGTCATCTTAAGTCCTCCTACACAAAGATTATTGTCACCAATTTCGGTTGAGAGTTAAGTTTGACTTTTCATGACAGCACTTTTCAGTTCACATAACCAAAGACAATAATGACCTCACTTGACCCCTAGATGACCTTTAACCTCAAATGTCTTAAGTCATCTGAAGTGCCCCTACCCAAAGATTATTGTCACCAAGTTTGGTTGAGATTGAAGTCTGACTTTTCATATGACAGCACTAAACAGTTAACCTAACCAAAATGGAACTTATGGACACACATACACAACAGAAGGAATACAATATCGCAAGATCCCCCTTGAAAGCCAGAGGGATAATAAAGGCGGGGGGGGGGGGGGGGGGGGGGGGGGGGGGGGGGGGGGGGGGGAGATAACAGCTTGCACAAATCATCAAAAGGAATAAAAGAAGTGTGGATCAATTCTTTAAATGTAGGAAGATTTTCCTGCGACACCCATTTACCATCTTTTTTTTTCAAGCGAAAATACAATGATATCCATATTTCTTGTTTGGCTAAAATTTGGGCAGTCTTCATTATTCAAATACAAATGTTGCCCTCCTTTGAAAGAATTCCTAACAAGTGGCAGTCGTCCCGTTCCAACTTACTTGTTATAATCAATCTCTACACAAACTAACAGCTATACCAAAATTAAGAGTTTAGAGCATCTTGGAGGTTCACAAAGTTATATAAAATGTACAACAAAAGAGTGAACATGTTGAAGTTTAGGATTAAAAGTTTGAGGCAACAGCTCAAAATTGAAAGAAGAAATATGTTGTCCTAAGTCAGGGGCCATGTTTATTTTAAGCCAGCTTTTAAACCCTTTTCAAAGGTGTTTAAATATGGGACACGGATAATGGCCCGAGCCAAAGGCGAGGGTCATTATCCGTGTAGTGCTAAAAAAACCTCCTTTTTTTGAGGTTGGTGCACTCGGCACATACTGCATGATGTGGAACAGAACGCAGCAGTGCAGGGATAAAGTATATAAAACCAGTTGGTGTTTTAAGAACTGTTTAAAGCCATCCACATGATTGGCTCTCGGCCAAAAGGAACTGTCTTAGCCAGTTATGAATGGCGGTTCAAAACCACCAAACTGACATGCTCTCAACCAATAGGAATAGGTAAACTATCACAGATATTTATGTTAAGAATGTGATGTTAAGAATGGGCTTTTAAACAATCTTTGCTAGAGCAAAGATTAGGGCCAGTGAACCCTCTGGGATCTCACAATACCTGAAGCAGACGATCCTTGAGTCCTTTCTCCATCAACCAATCGTACAACGCCACGTGGAACAACTCATCGTCACATGACAAAGCCTTCTGCATCATTGCCTCCATCTAGAAACAAATTATCAACCACAAAAAAAAACAGTCATGATGAGAGATAAGTTTCACAAAAGTTACTCTGTGACTTTACGCAACAATTACGGCATAACTTTAATAGTGCAATAAGGTGGTGTATGTGTAAGTATGTAGCCAAACTTTAATATTAAAATACATCGGACCATTTGCATTTGGTGCCTTTTTTTATTAAGGCAACAAAATTGCTGGGAATCTTAAGAAGGGTGCATAACAATTCACTTGTTGAAGTTTCAGCTCAGTGGATAATATACATTTTGCGAACACAGAGAAAACGCATGCACAATTTTTGGGGTCTCATAACTGGATTCTGTTGTTACCGCCCCCCCCAAAAAAAATGTGCCCGTGGGCACATTTTCTCAAACCACCTTCCATGATTCTTTTCCTCTGAATGATACCATTACAGGCGGAATAAGTTCAAAGGGTATTTGTACTAATCCTATGTTCACTTTGTGCAAGGGTTGTCTTGTAAAAATTGTAGGTACAAGTGCCTTGAAGTTTGACACAAGAAGTATCCGTTTCCGTTACGGCTGATAAAATGCTACTGGGCCTGTAAGATATTACAGAGAATGTCTAACGTGAGATTGTAGCGATGATGGGGCACATACGGTGATAAACCCAGTGATACTCACATAGGCCTTAGCGTCTTGGCTAGACAGCTGGTTAGGGTCTGGCTGGGGTGGGGGGCCTGGATAAGTCGGGACGACAGGGGACGTTGGGTGCTCTTGGCTGACTAGCACTAGCTCATCTAAGATGTCTGTCACACACCTATAACACTCACATCTAAAAAAGAAAGTGAAAATAATAATAATTGTGATATAACTATCACAAACTGTCACAAAATCTGTCCACTTCTTCTCCCATAGCTTTTGTACAGGCTGGTCACCAACTACCAGAACCCCTATGGATTAAACCGTATAACTGTCAAAGCCTGTTGAAAATTTGAAGTGGTTTGATAGATAGGGTGACCAATACTTCTACAGCTTGTGTAGCAGCCATTTTAAAGGATGATGCCTTTGTTTGGCTGGAATGCATGAGTGAATCTTTTGTGCCTTCATTGTTACTGAGCTAAACCCATCATTGACAGGCACTCACCAGCGCTGACCCACCACATCTATAAATGTCAGTATCCTCAGTCAACAAAACTACCACAGCCTGTCAATTGTACCAATACGAGGCCAGTTTACAGAACTATTAAAACCTGTCAACTGATAGATTTTGACGTATCTCCAGATTGTCACTGAGAGAGGTAGGGTTAATTCAAGTTTCTTATGAAGATCACCTGTAGTTTGGCATTTAGTCCAACCTGACCGTTCAAGTTGCTTGCAAAATAATGTCAAAGTGTCCATGATTATTATGTATAGGTTTTACCCCAAGCCACTGTGCCTACCTGGCCATGAATGCCTGCATGCCCTGCATATCCTCTGGGGGTTTCCCATTCTTGTAGTAATGCAACGCCAAGTTCTGCGGATCTCTCTTGGAAGCCGCCGACAGACTGAGGTCAACTACTCCATCGTAGAACCGAGCTGTCAAAAAAGAACAGTACTGAAGTAAATAACACCTATGACTGTACCTCATGCATATTCATGATCCAGAGCGGGATCCTCACTGGTCCATTCACCATCATGTGTAAGCCACCAAGTTTGTTGTTTTCAAAGCGCGCCACGACGATTCATTCACAGGGTAAATACACATGCGTAGTAGACTCGCATGGGTTATACATGCGATAGTCTACTTCGCATGTTCTTTACGAAGCAATCGAGAAACTATAGGTATAGCGCGGGTTGTTTCCCTTCGCGAACATCGCCCTAGCTACATGAAAAGATGGCACACACGTACAGCAACGTTTTGCCGAGATAACTAGTGCGTACCTTGAAATTTTGGTGATTATGTATGAGGTATAGTACAACGAATATAACATCGGTTATTTCAGGTGGATAGTCAATATTAGCTCCCCTTGGTAATGGTAGTTGACAAATAAGTTCCCTCGGTTTCGCCTATGGAACTAATTTTGTCAATTACCAATACCTCGGGGAGCTAATATCCACAAACCATATTAGCTGCCAAAAAAGGTTTCATATTCAAGCATTTCTAGTTGCAAACTGTTTGATATCCCAAAGGAATTGTGACATCCAGAAGTACTATCATCTATAAATACTATTTATATACCTCACCTTGATGATATTCACTGCAGACTGCTGCCAAGATCAACTGTTGGCTTATTGTCTTGAACAACTAACAAAATGAATCGAAATATGAAAGAAAAAAAATGAATACGAACCATTTAAAAAAAAAGCATATTCAAATTAAACCACCTTTAAATTTTTTTTTTAAGTTGGAACTTATTGGCTCATTGGGTTTGAATCTGTCATCTGCTGATTATCGTTCCACTTCTCCACCAAACGAGCTATCCAACCCCTATGGGCTCCGTGCACAAATACCCCCTCAACGGTAAGAAAGGGAGAGTTGGGGAGATCACTTGGAAAGACATTTGAATGCAATGCCACCAATGCTTGACACTCACGCGAAGATGCTATGGCATTATGTACTCTCGGTATAAAGTAGGTAATGCATTCTTCGCGCAATACGTGCGCGAAGCAGAACAAGCACGTGGTGTGTCCCATCCTCTAATGTTCGAGCATGGAGCCCATATTGGCTGTTCCACGTTTTTGTCAATGTCTTTGATCAAGGGGCGCTTGACAAAACTGGGGAACTACCAACATAGGGCTGGATAGCTCAATATTCTTGTCTATAGCCTCACAGGTACCCATTTATGCCCCTGGGTTGATAGAGGCAATTGTAGCAAAGTGTCTTGCCCAAGAACACAAGCACCATGTTCACATCAAGGTTTGAACCCATGTACCATCACACATAAACCGCACATGGACCACAGCACACAGCGCATGCTAGGATACGTTACCTGCAATGATTCCTGTAGCATCTTCTCCTTGACGGAACGGGTTTGTGCCTGCTGGGCCCCTTTGATCAGTTCACTGGCCTGCAGTGGAAACAATTACAATCTGAAGCTTCTGGTCAACATACATTTTACAATGGTTTTGTTTTGACTGGTGTGATGTGGGATATGATGTTTTGAACACCTGAGGGGCGCATTCGCCTCGAGAGCTATACGCCCCGAGGGTGTCCAAAACGTCATATCCCACATCACAGCAGTCAACAATTGTTTTGTTATACCTCTGTCTTGGATTCTTTTGATTTTGATGTAAAAATCACGAAGACGAACAGCAGTAATAACAACAATCATGACAATCTATAAACAGCAACTCATGCATGTCGTGTGCTCGAAACAGCTGTCTGTAAGTTCGCTGCGTTTTGTGTGTGAAATGCGTACGTACGCGTACGTGTTCGGGTACGTACCATACACACACAAAGTCATAGCACACTCCCTGTGGGATATCACGTCACAGGGAGAGTGCTATGACTTTTTATAAACTAAACACGTTCTAGATCGTTCTAGGCCAATGAAAATACAGTATTCAAGACAGAGGTATACAAATTACAAATATGAATCGTACTTGATATTTTATGGGGAAAAATGTCAATTCAAGTTTTAAAATCAATCATGACATGAGCTGTGTCGCAACATGTTTATATTACATCATTTGAGTAACACAAAGAACTTTAACCATTGGAACATTAACCCTCCTAGTCTTCTGCACTTCATGACCCTTCAAGTTTTGCAAAACCACTTTTGCCCATATAGTCAACAGCCACACTTCAAATTCCTTGGAGGTAATCTTCTGTGGAGTATGGATAACACTTCAAATCCCTGCACAGTTCTTTTGTGTGGTTAAGCTCAGGGCAAGCAGGCAGATTCAGTCACAGCTCTCCACAGTGCTGTTTTTGTGTGCAGTGACTCTCTGTGTGACACAGTTGATAACACTTCATATCCCTTCACCTGAAACTGACCTGCAGCGTTTTAGGGTTTTACATGTTGCTCTGAATATTGACTTCCCACTAGGAGGGTTAAAAGATTAAATTAAAGTTACTTTTAATGACCATACCTTGGAGCATATAGCATCCTCTTGACTGTAGATAGATGGGCAGATATCTCGTAGCTTTGTGCTTATGGCGTCTGTAGTTGCATTGTCTCCAATGTAACAGTTGATCAGTGCTGTTATCAACATGTCACAAACCTACAGAGACAATAAACACAGACTTAACTTTTTGAATATTAGGTGTTGCCCTTTGCCAACTAACTTTATTGAGTGTTGTCTGAGGGCTTGGGAGAAAAAAAATTCAAGGACTACTCAGGTGGGACTCGAACCCACGACTTCCTGCTTGCTAGTGCAGACGTCTTACCACTCGACCACCGAGCTTGCATCTCCCTGTCAAAAATTTCAACTTACAAATTGACTTTAAATGTGTCAAAGCTTTTGAAATTCAAACAATTCATGAGAAAGGTTTGCTTGACAACATTTTAACATCAATCCAGAAGAAATGATATCTTCAGGTGACTTCTCACAAACATTTAAACTTAAGCAGAATATGATAACATGATATGATAACCCTAAATCCCAGCCCTAGCAAGGAAAGTAAACGTTCACATAAAACGAATGTACTACATTCAGCCCAAAGACAGCAAGACAAAGGGAGAACAGCAGATTCTTTGTGGTCCTCAAACATACATCTGTTGTTGAGAACAGTCCTCGAACGTTACTCTGTGTGCTTTTGTCTATTGGAGAGTGTTATATTACGGGAACAAAGGGAAAAACAATGCCTTGTCCTCAGACGTAATGGGAAAGTATGACTGTGCGCAAATTTGTTTATGTGTAGTAATGCGACATACCTCCTTGCCATTGATGACCAAATCGCGGAACGTCATCTGCTTCAACTGGTCTCGAGTCTCCTGCATAATCAACAACAAACATCACATTATCACAAAGTGTTGTCAGATAAAATTGTTATGGGCAATCAGACAAGCTACTGCAGGTGGCTTACAAGTGGTAACGCTATTCCTCTATCTCCAAGTCACAGGTGCATTGTGAGAATTTAGGTAGATTTTCACAACCGAACAAAATGCATGATGTTATCGGCCATTACTTATATGTTTTTACCAATGGCAGTAAATAATAATTGTGCTTATATAGCGCTTTCCATCATATCAACGATCTCAAACCACTTTACAATTATTACCCCGTTCATCAGGCCATGAGACCACGTGGCAGCAGATATCAGCGCTCAATCGGTCCTCGACCCTCACAGGTACCCATTTATACTCTTGGGTGGAGAGAGGCAATTGTAGTGAAGTGTCTTGCCCAAGGGCACAAACACCATGTTCCTGGCAGGATTCGAACCCACACACCATCGTGCGTGAGTCAAACACCGTAACCACTGTCCAAAGGCATTATACAAGTCAAAGGTGCATTGGGAGAATTTAGGTAGATTTTCACATGTGAACAACATGCATTATGTTATCGGCCATTACATTGTTCCTTATTATGCACACTTTAATGTTTTTACCAAAACTTTAGTAATAATCTCCAGTAACAGCTGAAAGGTAATATACAACATTTACTTTTACTGTATTTTTCAGAAATGGATGGATTTCGGGGGTTGGTATTTTATAGCAGATATTGTATGAAGTTTTGTGTTCATAGATGCTGGAAAAACCAAGAAAAAATGCTGTTCTTGTAGTCTAGTTCCCTGACCCTACTCCAGATGGGGAATTGTCAGGTCATGGAACCAAACTAGCCGGCTTGTACCAATTCAGGGATGTGGACTTGCAAACAAAATGTGGACTAACTAATTGGGTAAATTGGTGGCAGTATTTGAAAAAGTCGGTTTTTTTCCAACGATGGTCAGCCGACCATCGTTGGAAATTGATACAAAAATTCCACTTTTCTTGAAAATTACAGCACACCGGGTGCCATGATTTCACGGGATGCTTGAGACTATTATTCATTTACAGTCAAGTAAGGTATATCATAATAATTTTGTAGTTTTGTTTTTTGATGTTTGCAAATGTCGTAGGGCTGTGCATCGGAACCGGGTACCCGAGTACCCGACCGTTGATGTCAGGAACCGGTTCCAGATTATGGAATCGATTACCCGTAACCAACTTTCCAAATTACTTAGTAGCTTCTCAGTCAATGACAGGATACTTGTACATGGTAAACCAAAACCAATTTCACATTTTATGATGCTTGCAAAAGTTGCAGTTTTCACCACATAGCTAAAGAGCTCAATGTATACACCCTATCTAGCCATATCGCCGCACTGATGTGGCAGTATCATGCAGACCTTTATAAACAATCTGAACAGCAACTTCCCCGGATTTGAATTTTTGGTTTTGGGTTTCTTTAACGGGTACCCGGGTACCCGTATTTTTTTCCAATAGGGTACCCGGTTCCTGTACTACCCGTAATGGCACACCCCTAAGATGTTGTATATTACCTTTAATTCAACCATGTATGATTGCAATGAAAAATTTGTTAAGGCTTTTTATTACCTGTGGCAGTGCTGCGGTGACATTGTGGAACTGGTGATAGCACAAGAGCTGGAGGAGCTCCAGTACCTCGCAACAGCTATTGATCAGATGCTCTAAATGCTGCAATGCTTTCCTCTCCACATTCTCAGCTTCGGCTGGGGAATAAAGAAATGATTCTTGTACCTGAACACTGTTATAAATAGACCGATCATTTAAGCTTCGCTTTTGATGAACCACAACAGTGATTACTGTCCGAGATAATTCACAAAATGCCTGACATGCGTGCATTTGCTTTAACGCACATGCTGAAACATGTAGCATGGCATTGAAGCGAGGCGCATGTATTCTTGTTTGTGTGCTCAGTGGGCAAGGCCTTGCTGATTCGTTCTACTGGGTGTAATTTGTGTTGAGTAATCAACACATGAAATAATTAGTTGGACAGTTTTATATTTCAATACACACACCTCAAATAACCTCTGGCTATTGCCATGGATGCCAGGCATGGACAATAAAAAAAATCCAGATACTCAAAGAATAAACTCCTTTGAGATTTGGTGCTATCGCCGTATCTTGCATGTGACATGGACAGACAGAAGGACAAATGAATCGATTGCAGCCAAGATTCTGCCCAAAGAATGACTCGTAGTTTCTGTCCGCTACTACTTTGGACATCTGGCCAGGGGGGTGCTGGGGAGTTAGGGGCAACAATTCTGCATTTTTGCCTGTTTCTGGTAAAAATAAATCGATTCAACCTTCTATCCTTTGATATTTCAAAAACGAGGACTTGACATTTTGATGCTAGTGGAATCATTATCTAAAGCAAAGAGGAGGGGATTATGTCAGACCGTACACTATTCTAAAATTTGTTTAGTTCAGGTTAATCTGGTAATTTTGCAGCAGCTTTTTCTTCTATGTATTTGACATTTTATGATTTCTGATATTTTTAAAGAATTCAGCAATATAGCATTTTTTAGTATACTGTGTATGCGCTGTACCTTGTTGCAGTTGGGTGTATTCTCGTCCCACTGGCCGACCGATCACCGACTCTGGCCTGACAAAGCCTGGCATCCCAGTGGCTATTACACTGTAAAGCGAGAACATGTTGAGTTATTAAATAGCACAACCGAAAGTTCTTCTAATCACAAAATTTTGGAAGTTTGCTATTCTTATGTTTCCTTTTTTTTTTAATTAAGATTATAAAAAATTTAAAAAAATTAAATCCAAACCCTAACCCTGCTGAATCCAACAGGATCCAACTATATCATATACCCAATGGAGCCTGTTGGATTGAGCAGTAAACCCCTTGTGTACATTCCTGATGCAAAATGTTGGATTCAGCAGGCAACTGAACCGCATTATAACGCCAAGCTGGACTCCATTGAATCCAGCAGACTGAAAATAAGGCACAGTGGATTGAGCAGGAAACTCCCGTTGGACTCTGTTGGATTTAGCAGGGTATTCCTGCTATATTATTGAAATTTGTTCAACATAAAAATTGTCAATTAATATTCAAGTGAAGCTTAAGCACAGTTTTTCAAAAGTATTACTTTTGAAACATTTTACTGACAACTTTTTCTCTGTCTGATTTTGTGAAGCACCCGAGTATTATATGCAGGAAAATTATACATGGTCATTATGATCTTTCTCTATCTACAGCTTTAATACTGTAGCGGACACTTTACGCAGCACTTTTGTTGTCATTGCTTTCTTGTGCTAGGAGGAGGGGCTCCGGCGGCACGTACCTGACTTGGTTTTGTGTCTGGCTAGCACGCGCTCCAGAAATAAGCTCTATAAATAGGTTGCTTAAGTGGGGTTTTTGGTTCACTTACGCGGGTAGGGCTTGGCTAGATTTCAGTGTTGGGTAAAGTTGTTACAATTGTATACATTTGTTCAGACTGTGTGTTTTTCTATGCTGGGAATGATCAGTTGTGGTACTTGTAGCAGTGTGGCAGGTTGACCACAGAGTTTTTGTTGCTGAATGAATAAGACTTTCTCCACAGGTTGGAAATCCTGTGTGTTTGTCCCCTTTTCTTGCGTTTTTGCCGGATTCGGAGGACAAGAGCCCAATAAGTTCCCGCTACAATACCTTTCAGCCACTCCCGTGTATTGGGAATTCCTGTCCAGGAACTCCTTGAGTGCCTTCATCTTGTCCAGTACCCAGGCTAGCTCACTGCTGTCAAAGTTGGTCACAAGCTGCAACGTACACAGAAAGATTGGGTTTACACAATAAACAAGTTGCAACCACCAAGGTTAAAATGGCATTTATAAATGTGACCTGTTCTGTCGAAATCAGACTTTGCTGGGCATAAGGTCAAAAATGAGATTTTTGCATATTGTTAAAAAAAGTTCTTTTGCCTTTTAATAGGTGGTTTAAGTTTTGAAACCGGTCATTCCTGGGCAGAGTTATGCTATTTTGAAGTTCACTGTGTCGAAAAGTAGAAAACGGAGAAAATGGCAACGAATGTCACAACACAGTAATTTCTTTAACTGATATACCTCAACAAATCATCAAAAATACTATATTTAGAGTTCAAATTAGGGTTTCAAACTTGTATTGTATATTTTAGACATGTGCAGGATTACAAATATGCAAGAATTAGAAAATCCAAAAAAATCACCCCCACAGCGTTTTTTGGCCCTATCTTAATTTCAACCTCTGCCCAGAAGCGTCTGCTTTTGACAGAACAGGTCACAAATACCTAAGACAGTTTACCCATTCCATGCAACTCAGGTTCAGTCTACAGTGTAGGCATGTATTTGCCTAAAAAGCCACTTCAAAAAACACCTATTGCAATTCTTTAATATATACTTTTGACCCTAAATGACAAAAAAGGGATTTTTCTTCCACGAACCTGGATAAATCCAAAGAAATCCCACCCCTGCAAAAGACTGAGTTATTTCCACTAGCTCTTGCCACCAATTACACCACAAGTCAACAGATACCATTCAGATGGGTGTACAATCTTATCTGGGATTTTACAACGTTATGTTTTGTCCGTGAATGTAGAAACTGCAATGTATGATAGCTATCTTACCAGATTTCTCTTAGGTCCGTAATCGACAGATGTCGCTTCCACTGCAACATGCAATTCCCACAGTGGCCTACAAATATTAGGAGAAACAAACAGGCCCTTTAGAAGTACGCTTGCACCTATCTCAATATGACACGATTTTGGGGATAAAATATGTGCGTTCCTTTGTTGTACTATTGTTCATCACAAGACAAGTCACAAGTTACTTCACATGTCTGATCATAAGTCATCACCGACACCACGAACTGACACTCAGTTGCGCGTGAGTGCACGGCATGTGCACTCAGGTGCACGCACTAGAACCGGGTTATTTTGTTTTCACGAACTGACATCCGGCACAGTGCGGCACTTCTAGTGCACTCCGTACATTTTCATTTTCACGAACTGACACTGATTTTAATTTTACCAGTTACAACGGTTTTTAATTCAATTTTTGTCTAAGCTCACAAGTATACAGATGGATTAAATTCATGTAAAAACTTTCAAAGTGTTATTCTCTGTACTGTTGCCACAACATGCTTGGGTGTCAGTTCGTGAAAATAAAAATCATCCTATTTTGCATCAGTGTCTGATGTGCACGCGCACTACCGGGTGTCAGTTTGTGACACCGAAATTGTTGATTACGCGGTTTTCACGAACTGACACCCACTTGCGCGTGAGTGCCAGTTCATGGTCTCACGGCCCCATGAACAGGAGTAATAGTCGTGAAGCGGATTGACACGTTGGTATGAAGCGCTACTAGCACCACATTATTATTATCTCCACATACCTCGCAATTCGTCCAAAATACAAGCACAGCCCCTTGAGTTTGCCCGAGAATTCCACATCGTTGGATGGCTGGGTAGTTGATCCTGCACTGGTCCTTGGAGTGTCCTGGTACCCACTGGCTGTCAGTGGCGTGGAGGCTACGCTGGGCTGCAAACCTACACATTAACAGGAATAACAAATAAATAAACTGAGCGTGGAAACATGTACTTTTCTTCACGCAGCTTTTGCGAGCATATTGACTGTGTGGTTTCCACTGCCAGCCCAAATCTAGACAGTGCATTTCTACCACTCATGCTAATATCGATGAAGAAGTATCTCATAGACATAACCTTGGTTTGATTTTAGAACACCTGGCCCCAACATTATAGCCTACATTTGTAATTGTTTATTTTATGAAAAACATAACCTTTTGTTGGGTTCATGTCTTGGTTCATGTCCTGCTTGAGTAGGCTTCTGAAGTTGCTTCGCACAAGTTTTTGGACAGAACTGAGCAGAGTTATATAAGTGACCGGCTTATCCTTCTATCAGAGTTTACAAATCTTTTTCCCAACAAACCTCTCTGTAACTATGCAAGCAAGTACAGCAAACTCTCACCAAGTCAAATCTTAAAGAACCAGCGATTGGCCTGCCGGTGTTCGGGTTATAATTTGGCCAACGGTAGTGATCAGGCTAACTGGAAAGCTAGGATTTGTTGCAGTTACAGGCTGGATCCACATGTGAAAGATAAAGTGCCTTGGGCAGTAATGACTCGTGAAAAAGTTTCGCGATCTTTTTACGCTTCTTTGTGACTGTTTTGGCAGCATTTTCTATGGACTGGCCAACAAAAATACAAGATAAACGGAGTTTCGAGTTATCTGAATTTGACTTTATGAGAGTTTACTGTAGCTGCAGTTGAATACATTCTGAAATCATACCTGTTGTTGGTGGGCTGGTTACCGCTGTCCCATACTGGCTGCCTGGCCTCTGCCCAACCAGAGGTGTAGTGCTTCCTGTTGAATTCAACAAAAACAAATTGTCAAGGAAACACTTTTTTTTTGCTTAAGTCTATTTTCCGTGCATAGTACTAAAATCTGGTCCCTGCTTACCAAACAGATTAGCAGCAGGGTTCTGAGGCTGTGCCATGTAGGTCCGGAGTCTAGCTACGCTGCCGTACTGGAAGAAGGCCTGGGTAGCCCAATCAGCGACTTGCACATCGCTGGACGCTCTGGAGCATGCCAAGATGAGACATGTAGCACACGCCTGATCCTCCTACGCAAAGAGAACACATCCAACCATTCATATTACAGTTGGAACATTGGTCATTACCCGAAACAGACTTATGTGATCATGCTCTAAAGCCAAGTCCCGTAGGCTTGATTTTTTAATGACTCCAACATTTTTCGGTCAAAAAATATTCATATTTCACAAGTTCCTTATTCAAACAGCCAAATAACATTGTTAGTGCTCCTTTAAAGCAGGTTGAACTATTGACCCTGAAAATTCTAGCCAAACACCAGCCCCTCTGAGAAGAACCACATGTTTGTGGAATAAAATCCTTGTAGTGAGTCTAGCAAGCCTCGCCGCAGGGCATGAATAATCAATCATCCTGTCAACAAGACTAGTCAGCAAGCTCAAGCGATTGGCTGTTAGCTGAACACATTTCATAGCGAATGTGTCATGATGTCAAATTCAATTCGCAAATGTATTTGCAATAAAGGGAAGGTACAACATTTGCAAACATCACAAAACGAAATGAACAAATTATCACGAAATACCTTACTGGATTGTTAGGGAATGACAGTCCAAAGCATCCTGTAAAATCTTGGCTCCTGGTGTGCTGTCATTTTCAAGAAAAATTGTATTTTTCCAACGCTGGTCGGCCGACCAGCATTGGAGAAAACTGGCTTTTTTTAAAAAACTGCTCCTAATTTTCCATAATTAGTTATTCCGCATTTTCTTTGCAATTGATTATACACTTGTGAAGGGGTACAAGCCTGCTAGACTGATTCTCTGACCTTACAATTCCCCAAAGTCTATAAATTGCTCCGTTTCATCTTAAGTGGGGTCAGGGAAGCAGACTACAAGAACATGATTGGTTGTCTTGGTTTTTCCAGCATCTACAAGCCCAAAACATGAAACAAGTCTTTTTAACAATATTTGCTATAACATTCTAATCCTCCAAATCCATTGATTTCTGAAAATTGCAGCATAAGCAAATGTTGTACATTTCCTTTAAGTATGAACCGATCTTTACTTGAAAATTGTATACATTGTTGTACATTGTAATACAGCGGAAATAGAATTATACACAATGTATGACATACAGAATAATACACTGAAATTGACTTCACACCTTGTGTAATGTGAAGAAGCTCTCTACGACAGGGTTGTCAGGTCCCATGTTGTTCAGCATCAGTTGTCGTAGCTGATCCACTGGACGTAACTTACTCACAAGGTAACTTCCCTGAAAAGAAGGAAGAATTGTTTGCATGACATATTTTACAAGGTTTTGACAATCTACTTGCAAAACTGTACCACACCCCCTTCGCCATCAGCAACTGAGAATTTGGGGGTAAGATAAAACTACTTTTGACATAATCACAAAACAAGTGTGTGAGATTTTGGAACTCCAGTCCAAGTCAATTCTTCATTGCTGGACTGCAATGGGCCTAGGCAGAGGACAACTTTATTTGGAAAACGCAAATCGCTTTTTGGCAATGGGAGACTTTTGAGACGTTGATGGCAGCAAACATGTTTAAGCCAAAGCACGCATGCTCAATATAAAGCAAACAATGGAAAAAGGACCGGTATGTTTACTGCCACCAATGTTTCAAAAGTCTCCCATTGCAAAGCAATTTCCTTTAAACCTCTGTTGACATATTCTGAGAGTGCCAATCTCTAGTTGCAACTGGTCCCAATACCTGGCAAGATCAAGAAACGTAGGGAATATTCAACGATCAGCCCACTGACTGATTTTTGGAATAAAGAGTGGAATTGATCAAAAGGTTGTGCATGTTTTGCAATGTTTTCTGATGTCCACTGACTAAATTTGAAGAAAAAAAAAAGTGTTATTAACGAAATCATGTTTTGTGATCAAAAAGTTGCGCAGGGTTTTCTCAAAAAGTGTAATATCCACTGAGCTGCAACTTCAACAGGTTAGATTTTGCACATTCTTTGGATTTTGAGCGGTGTTATTATCGGAAACGAATATTATGCATGAAAAGCAAATGATTCTATGTGCCTTTAACTATCTTCCGTTCCTGTCTGGATTCCAATGTGTATTTACCTTTGAGCTCAGCAGTATATAGGCAGGCGACATGACGGTATGCTGGGTCACCACGCTGGGAGGGTCCGGTACTCGAGGCTTGTCAGAGACAGGCTCCAGCCTAGGGGTCAGGATAGGAACGGCTGGGACCTCATCGATCACCCAGGTCCTGCTGTCAATCACATGAGTCACCTACAAGAAATGACAATTGCCAACAGTAAATGAAATGTTGGGATTTGCTCATCACCGATGTAAGTGACCTATCGCTGTATGCGATTTAGCCAAGCCCCTTAGACAACCCTATGGAGAATTTTGTACGTTAAGTTTGTTTGTCTCAGATTTTGGGCGTTCCACGTCCATTTGTATATCATGTAATTGGACAATATTTCACAAGCTGCGTTGATGTGATTCCACTGCGATAGGTCAATTGTCCAAGAAGTTTAGAAAATAATCACGAGGTCACTCGGGTGGGACTCGAACCCACAGCCTCCGGCTTACTGGTCCAGATGTCTTGCCAGTCGACCACCGAGCTTTCAAAGTTGGCAAGAGTTAAGAGTCGCTATGAAGTGTAAACGCAATTTGAAGGTTTGCATTGTGGGGAGAACACGTTGTGAGAAGCTTGCAGAAATACCTTGTGAAGTTACTAATTATGTAACGAAGAGAAATACCTGTGTTTCCATGAGGGAGCGTTGGAAGGGGAAGGAGTCAGGATTCAGACACCACAGCTGGTCGCTCTCTTCATTTTGTGAGGCGCACAACAGCAAGGTACCTGATAAAAGGCCAAAGCAACGAAATGGTAACATTAACCCTTAAATAGCCAAGGAATGATAATATTCATTGCAAATCCTATGCATGTTAAAGAGGTTGTGGAATGCTGAAAGTCGTTTTGTTTTTTATATTTTTTTATTGTAGAGTAGACCCATATATATCATAATGACAAAGTCCCATTCTTTTGTAATGTGCGTTTATATGTTTATAAGTCTGAAATTCATCGAGTAATTTGTTGGTCGGCGAGCGCATAATTGAAATCAACAGTCGTCGGGTTCTTCGAAAAAGAGAAAAATCGTGACGTAATAAACAGGACTTGTTTATACTACGCTGCATCAGGAGTCCTGTATATTACGTCACGATTTACTATGTTTTGTTTGCTGCCCCCAATGACGACTTTTACACAAATTGCACGTTCGGGTCGAAACAGGACCTGAAAAACAGCTCTCAAAAGTACCTTTTGTACTCATTTCTTGACAGACACAATAGTCGTTTTTATTTCATCACACCTTAGGCTACATATACCCGAAAAATGACGGAAATGTCTTCGAGCATTCCACAACCTCTTTAAGGCATCCGTGCCATGCACCAATGTTGTAAAAAAACAAAATCGTGATGGACGTTGCCCAAAAGTTTACAATTAAGTAATTTGTTTAGCCTATGAGAAAGGTCCTGCTAAGGATCGAAATGTTAGGCCGTCTAATTTTGGAGATTTGTATATTTCAGGTCAATCCAGTCAGTAAGCAGTTGGCAGCAGTTCTATTCGTTTAATTCAATTAATTCAATTCCCTAAAGTCATATCTCCAAAACAATTCATCCTAAAACCTCAAATTTAAAATAAATCTTATATTTTCGGGGGATAAATTAATCTGATTGGTTGATTTTCATTTTGGGTGTGAATCTGAGCACTTGCATGAAAAGATGACCTGAAAAGGTAAGAGAATCTTCACTTTGGACTACAGTACACATTTCTTGCATGTCTGAGTCAGCAACTTGTCAACAAAATGTTTAATACTCTTACTCACTTAACTGGGGGAGTGTGGCCTAGTGGTTAGGGTTCGTGACTCATGATCAGAGGGTCAGGGGTTCGAATCCAGCTGCTGGTCATATGTTGTGTCCTTGGGCAAGCCACTTCACCCCCACTTGCCTCTCTCCACCCAGGAGTATAAAGGGGTACCGGCATTAGCTGGGGAGTAACCTGCCATGGACTAGCATCCCATCCAGGGGGAATAGAAATATTCTCAGTCGTTTCATGCTACTAAAAACGGAGATAAACGACGGGCCTGATGGGCCACGTTGGCTTGTGACAGACTTTACTTACTTGACTACCCACTTAACTACTCAGACCGGACATTTTGCCTCTGGCAGTGAATTTGTTTATATGTGGCAGAGTATCTGTTCAAGAAATGCGTCTCTCTTGGCTATTTTGATGAGAAACTTCTAGATTTTTCAACAACATAATTTTGGCAAGTCCTTTTTTCTTCAAAAGTACAACCATCATCGTAAAAGGGAAGATTTACATTGCAATAATGTGAAAAATTCTATTTTTGAGTCTTTTTTTTAAACAAAAACCACTACAAATACGCATAAGACATCAGTCTCGGCACCAAAAAAATTGAAAGTGGAAAAAGTTGCGGGGGTCTCAACGGTGACTACTTCATAAGAACCGTAAAGAGTTGATATACCTTTGCTATAGAGGGCAGCATGTACATTGGTCGGTCGGTGCTGGGCTGCATTAGCAGTGAAGCCAGGCGGTAGTCTGATGTGTACCAGTGCGAGGGTTACCGGTCTGTCTCGGGCACCGACCCCAGCTAACCAACCACCCTGGAAGGGGATAGTGGTGAAGTACAGCCGAACACCTGCCAAAAAAAAATAAAAAAATCAAATTTACCAACTTAACTGTGAACTTTGCAGGCACATCCAGGAACATATATTGAACCAACAACCCATTACCTCTAATGTGCAAATTCTAACATTAGCACTTTAGTTTTCTATCAAAATCCATTGTTTTCTCTGCACAATACAATATAAATATCCATGCATTTCTGCGCCATCAAACTACCATGAACTTAAATTTTGATTGATCTAAGGATCAATTGACAGTTCCATGATAGCGTACCTGTCTGTGTAACAGCCACCAGATGCAATCTGCTAGACTCTGTGCAAGGTATGGCCGCAATGTGGACAATCTGCTTGAAGTTGGAGCGATCAATGGTCCTGAAACAAAGTGAGCCCACAGTTTTCATAATCTGCATAACTCAAGTCCCAAAAGGGTATCATCTCTTTACTTGATACAATAAAGGGAATGAAAAGGAACTTTCATGCTTGATATAAAACCCTGAAATATATTATCTTTGCAGCCAATTTTATTGTATCTTATTTCCTCCTGTGCTTTCTCCAAACCTAAGACAGATCAAGAAAGATAACGGACCCGAATTTGAACACAACCCTCCTCAATCCTCCAAAATCAATCTGGGGCTTTTTCGAGGGTTTTGAAAGATTGTATGTCTTAAAGTGTCAGTTGACTTTGGAGGATGCATTGTGTCAAGGTTTAAGCTGTACCTTGTGTTGTTTACGTTTAGGAGTGCATTAATGTAGACCTACATTATAACTGATATCATCTGCAATCATCTACACTAATTTAACTTCTTAAAATCAAGTTTTTGGAGGATTTTGAATAGATTGAGGCAGTGGTCGCCCCTCCACTGAAGAAATTCAAGAGATAACCGATGATTTTGGAATTTTGGAAGATTGGGGCAGTATCCCTTTTTTGCGCAGTGACAATCGGGGGACTTTAAAGGACTCAGGCAAAGGTTGCCCCTCCACTGAAGAAATTCAAGAGATAACCAATGATTTTGGAATTTTAGAAGATTGAGGCAGATTCCAATTTTTGTGTGGTGGCAATAGACCATGATCATGTTGCAGCCATTTAATTTTTTTCCCATTCAGATCAATGTAACCAAAGCGAGGCTGGAAGGAAAAATAGTCTGGTTCCTTTTTGCACAAAAACATTATCATTCAGTACTGTTATTGGATACAGGGAACATGACTAAAATGGTGGAAGCACGATAAAGGTCTATTGGCGAATTTTGAAGGATTGAGGAAGCATCATAGTCCAATCGGCCCAGAGGGCATTAAGGGGTACTGCTTACCGTGCATAGTACATGGCATGTTTCATCATGGAGTAATGTGACACGGCAGTCACCCTGCGCATGCTGCACCCGTCGGCACCCATGTCATAGACTTGAATGGTCCCCTTCTCGGAGCGAGTGTACAAAACGTGTCTACTGTCGTCAATAGATATCTCAACCATTGGGTCTAGAAACACAAAAATAATCCAAAAAGCAAACAGAATATGGTTAATTTAAAGGTACATGTAATGGACGCCATCTGCACAAATATTTGTTTTTGCCGATTCAAGGATCAACAATACAATAAATGTGAAGCAGGATATTAACAAAACTAACTTGTCCAAATTTCAGCTCAGTAGATATCAAACTTTTTGAGAAAAACTGTGAAAAAGCATATACATGTATTTCTTGACGCCAAGCAAGGCTTTCGTTGAAAGTCATCCATTCCAAAATGTTTATTAATATGTTTTGACTTGCAGCTCTAGTGGTACAATCCCTAGTTTGTCACTCACAAAGTTAATTTTCATTCACAGACATATGTAACTGATTGCAAATTCAACCAAATTCGGTCGATTTGGGGTGGTATTCTAAAAAAAAAAGTTTGTTTTGGTTCAATCCTAACCATTACAAGGGAATTCCTCTTTTCTCAAAAACAACAGCGACAAATAGAATAACAAATGTATAAATTTCTTTGGGCGTATTTATTGATTTCTCAAGTACAACTGAATGTATGCAAAGCATCGAGTAAAACATTCCAATTGAAAAGTAAAAGCATGTATTTGGATGAAGAGACTCACCATCTTCAGAGAAGTTAAGAAATGAAGGCACAAGAAACGACAGCGAGCTACTGGAGTGGTTGACCTTGCGACACTTGCGACTAAACCAACCATCCTGGGCCTAGGAAAACATAACAGTACAAATCAACAAGAGTCATATATAAATACATGTATCTTAAACATTTTTCAGAAATATTCTAAAATATGTACATGGGACCATTTGCTTTTTGTTTTCCTTTGTGGTAACAAAATTGCTCCAAATCTTAAGAAGGGTGCATAACAAACAACTTGTTGCAGTTTTCAGCTCAGTAGATAGTATACATTTTGAAAAAACTGAGAAAATGTATGCAAAAATACACGGGATCTCGCAACTGGATTTTCTTGCTAATACACATACAAAAAAACTGTGCCTGCTGGCATATGTTCCTAACCACCCCAACTCTATCAAAATCCATCCCCCATTTTGGTGGATTTGGGGGGAGTTGGTCCTGAAGGCCTGGCGTGACTAAATATTGATTGAGTATGATGGATTTTGGCCTAATAGCCTGAAGTAGTGCTAGGGGTATCCAATTGATTTTGCCTAGCTTCCTGTACTGCTATTGTGATAACAGCCATGTGTAGCAAGTCCATGAATGCCAACCTGTGCGTCAGTGGTGGATTCCATTATGTCATGTACAGTTTAGTATTGGAAGCACAGTGAGTGATGGATTTTGATGGACTTGGTCCAGTTCCTAGTAAAAGATGCTAGGGAGTTGGGGCTTTAAACCAACTTCAATGATTTTATTCTGAATGTGTACAATCGTTTCAATCCTTTCATCTCACAACTCCTTCATGTGAGCATAAGGCATCGTCTGCAATGCGTTCGAATGTCCTTCCCAGTGGTCGCCCCCAACTCTCCCTTTGTAACTCTTGAGGGGGTACTTGCTCACAGAGTCCATACAGGGGTAGTGACTTACCTGATACATGATCTCATAGAGACAACCGTCCTTGCCAGCTAGGAAGATGCGGCCGTCGCGTGTGGATTTGACCCTCAGCATGTACGTGTTGTCTGATTGGATGGAGAAGAGTGGATCCGGCAACAGGTGCATTTCGCAGCGACTGTAGTCATTCTGTCCCACATCTAAAAGATGACAATACACGTACATTTAAAGGGAATATGCAACATTTGCTTTTGCCAAAATTTTCAGAAATGGATGGATTTTGGGGGTTAGTATTTTATAGCAAATATTGTTGCACTGACCTCTTTAAAGTTTTCTGTTCGTAGATGCAGGAAAAACCAAGAAAAAAATCATATTCTTGTAGTCTGGTTTCCTGACCCCACTTCAGATGAAACAAAGCAGACTTGTTAAGGTCAGGGAACCAGTTACACAGATGTGTAAGCAATTGCAAACAAAATGTGGACCAACTAAATTTGGTAAATTGGGGCAGTATTTGAAAAAAGCCATTTTTTTTCCAACGATGGTTGGCCGACCATCGTTGGAAATTGGTACAGAAATTCCACCTTTCTTGAAAATGTCAGCACACCAGGTACCATGATTTAGACTGTCATTCACTAACAGTCCAGTAAGGTATTTTATAATAATTTTGTAGTTTTGTTTATTGATGTTTACAAATTTTCAGTCTTTGGTAGCAAACGGGGTACGAAAATGTAGCTATCAAAATTCCCCAAAGGTCTATATAAATGACGTCATCATAGGACGATCAGATTCAAAATGATGTCCCCTCTAATGAGTGTGGACTTTCTTTTTTTTTGCGGTGTTTATTAGGCTTGGGAATACTGTACCTTCATGAGGCCGAGTGAAGCTTACACCAAGCACGACTATCTCCCTGGGAGTCACCAGGCACAACAGGAACCGAATGTGACTATGGAATATGTTAGGCTTGGGCATACTGTACCTTCATGGGGCTGAGTGAAGCTAACACCAAGCAGGACTATCTCCACGGGAGTCACCAGGCACAACAGGAACCGAATGTGACTACGGAATATATTAGGCTTGGGCATACTGTACCTTCATGAGGCTGAGTGAAGCTAACACCAAGCAGGACTATCTCCACGGGAGTCACCAGGCACAACAGGAACCAAATGTGACTACGGAATATGTTAGGCTTGAGCATACTGTACCTTCATGAGGCTGAGTGAAGCTAACACCGAGCAGGACTATCTCCACGGGAGTCACCAGGCACAACAGGAACCGAATGTGACTACGGAATATATTAGGCTTGGGCATACTGTACCTTCATGAGGCTGAGTGAAACTAACACCAAGTAGGACTATCTCCACGGGAGTCACCAGGCACAACAGGAACCGAATGTGACTATGGAATATATTAGACTTGGGCATACTGTACCTTCATGGGGCTGAGTGAAGCTAACACCAAGCAGGACTATCTCCACGGGAGTCACCAGGCACAACAGGAACCGAATGTGACTACGGAATATATTAGGCTTGGGCATACTGTACCTTCATGAGGCTGAGTGAAGCTAACACCAAGCAGGACTATCTCCACGGGAGTCACCAGGCACAACAGGAACCAAATGTGACTACGGAATATGTTAGGCTTGAGCATACTGTACCTTCATGAGGCTGAGTGAAGCTAACACCGAGCAGGACTATCTCCACGGGAGTCACCAGGCACAACAGGAACCAAATGTGACTACGGAATATGTTAGGCTTGGGCATACTGTACCTTCATGAGGCTGAGTGAAACTAACACCAAGTAGGACTATCTCCACGGGAGTCACCAGGCACAACAGGAACCGAATGTGACTACGGAATATGTTAGGCTTGAGCATACTGTACCTTCGTGAGGCTGAGTGAAACTAACACCAAGTAGGACTATCTCCACGGGAGTCACCAGGCACAACAGGAACCGAATGTGACTACGGAATATGTTAGATTTGAGCATACTGTACCTTCATGAGGCTGAGTGAAGCTTACACCAAGCAGGACTATCTCCACGGGAGTCACCAGGCACAACAGGAACCGAATGTGACTACGGAATATGTTGGGCTTGGGTTGTACTAGGCCAGCGCATAGTATGGTTTCGCTCAAACCGTCAAAGTAGGCTAGGTCACCACTGTCAAGACGAGTAACAAAAAAAAATGTAAATTTACCACAAAACCTAAATACATTAGACCACAGACATTTTGTCAATACATTGTTGGAAGAATTGAATACAGACAGGTTTGAATATCAATGTAGTTTCTAATGTTTTATCAAACTACAAACTCTGGACCTCAAGTTTGTTTGTAAACAAAGAACGCTTCCATTAAAAATGTAATGTCCATTGCCCCAACAAGTTCATTTTCTTGGGGGTCTCCTTACAATTTTCAACTTAACCCTAACTCCCTAGGATGATTTACTAGGAACCTTCCTCATCCTTGCAAATCCCAACACCATATGGTAAACTGTGCGCATAAACAGTTGGACTCTGTATATTTGTGGTATGCCTAATCCTATGTAAAGCACAGTCAGTTTACTAGTGCAGTACTCACCCTAACAGATTCCATAAAATAACCTGGTGTTTGAGTTTGGCTGGTTGGGTATCGTTAGAGTTAATTAAAGTATGTTTTATTTCATCCCAAACCCCTACCTCTTTTTATATTTTTGGTGTCTGCTTTTGTGCACAAACCATCCACACTGCGAGTGAATGTTTCTGGTCCTCCGTTATCAATACTGATAGGGGCGGGAACCAGTGTACTCTATTAGAACTGAATAATTGTCGGGCAGCACACAATTTGTAATTTGTAATTATTCCATAACTAAACGTTGGCCCCTTTTTTGTTATTTGATGTTTCATTCAATAGAGAATAACTTTGTATCGCCAGAAACACAGTAATTTAAAGTTATTACTATGTTTTTTTCAGATGAAACTCGAAATAGCACCGACCGTACATATTTAATTCCAACTGTGGATTCTATGAATGAATCTAAGAATCTTGCAAATTGAGTCACAGGCCTTCTATAACTTACCCATCTTCGTAGTTCCAGACAAAGATATCACTGTCGACCGACAGCCAGGCCCGGCTTATCTGAGGAAACACCCCCATCATGCAGTTGCATTGCATATCTGGTGCAATTTCCATCAAGGAAAAAGGTTACAACACGCAACAAAATGTTCACTCACAACTGATAGTATCCGATACTGCAAGGTCTATATGCAACATATATCGCATAATATCTTGCTCATGTTTTACTTCTGCTCATGGTTTACATTGGTGAATACATTTTGTTCATGGTTTACATTGGTGAATACATTTTGTTCATGCTTTGCATCTTTTGTACAGGGACGTAGAGAGACCAATTTGATTGGTGGAGGAGGGGGTGTGACCCTCCATGCTGAAAAGTAGCCAGGATTTTTTTCTCGTTATCTGGCCATCTAAAATAAAGGGAGGGGGGACTGGACATCATCTGACTACTGCAGGGACTGTTCAAAGTAGACTATCTTGGACACTTTCAGACAATGGGTGTTGCTCTTCGTTGTGGCCAATTGGCTGATTGACACACACTTTTTGCCAACAGAAAACATTCAATGGGGGAGCACCACCCACAACGTGTAATTAACTTTGTGTCATTGCTTTCATTTCTCTTTGCAATTTCCAAAAACGAAGATTTTACCTCACTTTAAATTCAATATGGCCGACTCGTGAATAAGGCCCATATGGCTAAAGTCACTACATGTTTCTTGTTCAAGATCAACCTGTAGGGGGAAGTAATAGGTACCACTCGCACACATGTAGCATTGGAGACTGAAATTGATGGTAAAATGTACACATTCAAAAAGGATACGTCCAAACTGCTCCACAAGTTCAGGAGGCAAAGGCACTCTCTTGGCTGGACTAAGCTGAGGTAAATCGGCTAATCCTACAGAAGCTGAAGATAAGGATGGATAATCCACATCACTGATCCCGCTCAGAGTGGCATGAGCTGCAATAGAATTATCACACACAACAGTCAGTTTAATACCAGTCCAAAAATTTGGGACTCTCAAAACTGTGTATGAGAGTCCCAAAACGTAAGGTATTGAAAACATGCAACACAAGAAATAGACTGGCACATGAAACAACCAGTCCACACACTGTCTCAGACTCCTTTAATAGTAAAGGAAGTCAAAAGAAACATGTGGTACCTAGTCTCTATTTCTACACATTCTCCATAGTTATGCCACCAGACTACTGAACTGTCAAAGTTGGACTTGTACCAGTCTAGTCTTAGGATTCAAATGGAAATCACTTGGCTTCACTCTCAGGTGCAATATGCTAAAGAAAAGTCTCTTTTAAAAATTAAAATTGAGACCTCAAACTTGGCTGGTGAAATACGGAGGACCTTGTCTTCGCCTTATAGAAATTTTGGAGAATTTTGTCAGCTTTTATAGCCCTAACTCCCCAGCATAATTTACTAGGAACCATACCCATCCTGGCAAATTCCAACACCATATGGGAAACTGCACAGCCATATTTCTGACTTTGATTCTGGAGGTGTGCCAACCCAATGTATAAGACTGTCAGTTAAGGAGTACTTGTACCCATCCTCAGATTCCAACAAAATATGCCGTTGGGGTTTGATGGGTTGAGTTCTGTTAGTTAAAGAGTGAGTAAAGTGGGCCTGACTTTGTTTCAATGTCCCTGTCTGTTTTAATACTTATGACGTCCGAAAACATTTAAAACACGACGTGGCAGGTCTAGTAAGGTCCCAGAGCACATAAAACTCTCTCCAAGTCTCAAAAGAAACGAGACAAGATATTCAGACATTCACCTGAGGAAGTTGTATTGAGTAGTTGCGTCAGTTCAGGATAGCCTTTATCCTGTGCTATGTATGTGTCCACATGCTGCCCTGCTGCACTCAACGCTTCCTTGGCTGTGGTTAACGCAGGAGCTATGTTCAGTGGTCGTGCCATGCTTCACTGTGTTGGAAGAAGAAATAGTTTCCTGTTACTTTGTTAGGCTTAATAACTTTAAAATGAAGTTAGAATGAAATTGAACTTTTGTTTTTGAGGTTTGGACTTGAAATATGAAAATGTACAAGTTTGGCCCCAAAACATGCAAAATGTGTATTGTTTCCTTTGGACATTTGCTAGCCCCATAGTGTGGCTCAATTATTGGACTTCCACCGTATTGGGAGCCACACAGCGGTCATATACTTTTTGTAGGGAAAAGTTGAGTTTGAGGAAATCAAAATCGGGACTGTTTTTTCACTTGATTATATTCACCATGGAAGATACTTACCTGGTATAACCAGAGAAAATCAAAAGGTCAAGTGTACATTACCTGTGACCCAGAGAAAATTACTGCAATCTTTTTTAAACGAACTCACTGCAAATTTTGCCTAAAAATTACAGGAAAACTAAAAACACCTACATAATTTCTTTGCTTGATAATGTACAGGGTTCTCCCCACGTACAAACGTGCGTATCGGCCCGATACGCTGGAATTGTGGCCCGATACGCCGACAAAAATGCCGATCACATTTTTCAGCCCCCGATACGCACAATATAATTTATTACACAAGCCATTAAAATGCACAACATTATCGTTTCATACGCCATTATTTCATCTCGACATTCAAAATCTTGACAAAAATCCCGTATTTCTGATGCTGCATGTGTGATCAAAATGCACACGATGACGGGTCTTTCGCGACGACCGCCAGCACCCAGCTATATATTAGCGCATTCAGCATGGTACACTGGTTCCCTTCGCGTGCTAACAGTATCGATGCTATGATGAAGGACCGGAACCAGTGACTACTGCCTTGTACGTGCATACATGATGATTTCGGCCGAAGTTGGATCGTAAAAACACCAAACAAACATCGATGGAGAAAGAGAATTTCTGCAAATTAATTCACAGAACGTGATCTCTATTTTCTGTGTATGTATTTTCCATTAATATAACGAGATTGCAAAGCTCGAACGTATGGCGAAACATGGTACGCGTAGCATGCTTCTTAGAAGCAGTGGTGCAAAATGTTCAGCCACATGGGATGGGCCGTACACAGTTCAGTAATGCACACTGATGCTGCGCCGTGGCACAGCGCGATGTACAGCCGGCCAGACTGAATGTTGACGGCGCCAGGGGCCATGATGTACGTTAAACATATTGTGGAATCAACTACCTCAAATATATTTTTAATTAGGTGAGGCAAATTTTAATCACTTTTGATGGTCAGTCTTGATAATTTTCGTGGTGCAAAGGAAAATAATCCAGGCACAAAACTACATGATTCCTTGTTCAATATGCTCCATTCAATCAAGTGTTTTTATTCCTCCATGATTCAATCAGCAGCCCAAAAAATTGGCGAAATAATTTTTCCGACTTACCGACGCTATTTTGAAAGGCATGTAATCGGAAGCAAAAGTGATATTTTTCTTCACCTTAATTTCTTAATTTGAAACTTGCTTGTTAATATAATTCATACTTTCTAGATCAGGAAGTTTTAACACAGGTTTTGAAATGTTGATTTTTTTTTTTAAGTTAAAAATTTTGATATATTTTTTCTTTAATTACAAAAAATATCACATGATCTCCTCTAAATTTTAAGGGAAAATCTTCCTCAAAGACTCCCCAGATTTGCTCTAAAATGCACCAGAGAACCTCTAAAGTTCAAAATTTTTCGGGGCCCTTAAGCGGGCCCCGAACCCCACGCCATGGCTTCGCAGGTTGGTGAATCACAACAAAACTTCCCCCACAGGTTTGAAAAAATCCTGGGGAGAACCCTGATGTATGTTATCAGTCATCCATAGTAGTAGATGATTTCTTAATTGAATCGAATACTGGAACTTACTTTTGTAACTGTGCTATTAACCAGGTAAAAGTATCTTCCATGGAGAAGTGAAAAAAAAAGTCCTGATTTCTATTTCCTCAAAATCAAAATGTACCCGCAAATAACTTATGTCCGCTGTGTGGCCTACAATATGGAGGAAGTCCAGAACTTAGAAGTCCTGCATTTGAGCCACATTTAGGGGCCTAGACATTTGCATGAAAACTGAAATTCAGTTTCTAGTCTGAAAGTTAGGAAAAAGGCCTTACAACTGGTTGTAGAAACCAGGGAAAGAATATTGCAACCTGACGTCATTTTTTTCTTCATATATCATCTCAATAAAGGTCAGTCATTGAAAAAAGGGTTGAAAAGGCGAGAATGTGGGACTGAGAAACATTTCCAATGATAAGTTAGGAATAGCCCCATAAATGTGGCCAATTTACTGGACTAGCTCCGTAAATAAAGGCCACACTTGGAACATGTACAAAAACATGTAGAACTTTGTCAAATTTTGATTTTCACATTTAGGCTTAGTTTTCTGACAGTCTCCTGACGATGACTAGAGCAGGCTAGTCGAAACGTTGAGACCAAAGACAAGTTCGTTTAGAACTTACAGCAGGACTGTTCTTAACAGAACAAAAACTACTTAGCAAAGTTGATAATAAGCAGGACAAGTTCTTCTCAGAACTAATATCTTCTAAGCAGTAGTTATTACCACATGGTGTTACCGCAAACCGAAACGATACCGATACCCCACCATGCAAAGCCTCAAATCTTATATAGGCTTAGTTTGTAGTTCATTTTTGCTTTACAAGCATACTCACCCTCTTTATAAATAAGCTAATCAGAAAGTGCTGCCTTTTTCAGATGTCAATTTTTCATGAAATTTCATGTTGAAATTTTGATACGCAAATGTGTGCAAACGAATCTGGAGATTTCACGAAAAATAGACATCTGAAAAAAGGCAGCACTTTCTGATTAGCCTTTAATTTTATAAAGAGGGTGAGTATGCTTCTAAAGCAAAAATGAACTACAACAAACAAAGCCGAAATATGAAAATCAAAATTTGACAAAGTTCAACATTTTTTGTACATATTCCGAGTGTGGCCTTATGGGGCTAAGAGCTGGCTAAGTTAGAAAATACTTGTTGATGCACTGATGAATAAAAAAAAAAAAAAAAAAAAAAAAAGTTCTAAAAGTACTCTGTAATCATTTAGCTTCATTGAATATTTACCTCTGTTCAGCAAAGTCAAATTCTCCTTTGATTCTTAGTTGTCGGCATGGCGTTCAGTCACTGCATGCCGCCATTTTTCCGGTCTTGACAAAAAACTCTTGAATGCCGGTAGACTCTTGGGGGCGCTCTATCCGCGTGAGGCGCCCCCATCCGGTTCGTTAGTGTGACGTCACCTCCAGCACTTTCTGCACGATTGGAACCGGAAGTTAACGCAGCTTGAGCGTTTGTAGCCAATGGGCGCTAGTAATCAGTGGTGCGCGTGCGTGTATGACGTTTTTACTAACGAACCGGATAGGGCGCCCCAAGTTATTTAAGTTTTCAAAGGCGCTTTTGACAGGACCAGCGGGCCGCGGTTCATACGTTTTGTTGTTTGTATCCACTTTTACAAAACATTACAATGTGGACCACATTTCCATCTTTGTGCGTGTGGAATGTACAAATATCCAATTCATGTCAATTTGCAATGGCCATAATTTTATGCCAATTGCAAGGAATGGTGGTGCAGCCCTGCGGATGCGACGGTCGGCTCGTTTACATCTTTTCCAGAAGCACGTGGCAGGCGCTCTCAAATTTCTTACCCGCCGCTTCGGTGTAAATACAACACCTTTGGCTGTATCCGCGTCGGAAGGAAATCATGAAGATGTCAGAAATGTTGAGAGAAAAGATGGAGACGCAGGCTTCCGAGGCTTCAGTTTCCTCAAGCTTCACTTCACAATTCCGAAATTTCCAAAATCATGGTCTTCATGCAGTTGGGTAAATATCAACATTTTTTTATGGCAATGCTCTCTGACGACCAGGAAAAAAGTACTAGTACTAAGCCTATAGTTGCAACAGCCGTCACTGCGCGCCCTTTCCTATGTGCTCTAGTGGGGCGGACTCTATATGCATTTTTGGATACACTCTCTCCCAACACATATAGCCTAGGCGGTACTTCAACAAGTTCAAAACCATTTAATGCCATTTTGTCTGACCCTTTTAGGGGCGGGTCATGACGCTAAAAAGTGGGGGGCTGCGCCGGCAAAAGAACGATTCCGATAATTTCACATTTTCTTTTCTTTTCTGCATTTGGCCAGCTCACCCATAGAGCTGCTCACCCAAGTGAAAATAAAACAATTCAAGAATTTCGCCATTGCTGGGAGTTGGCCTGTTGGCCATATTTTCAAACAGTAAGGGGCATATGGCGTAAACAAACAAAAAATCGGCTGCAACAGGCAATAGTTTTTTCTTTAATCCAATAGGCCTATAGTTGGGCAATTTCCAAAGGTTGGCATTATACACTTCAGTCATTGTTCTGCATCCCACTTGTACGGAGATTGTTCATTATGAGGCCGTTGAAAGAAACAGCGTTGATGCGAAATCAAATCCCTTTTGCTATAATGGCCTGGAATTACAACATTCATAGCATTTTGCGTCTGTTAGGGGATTTCAAATTCCTGCTCTTAATAGTGGCCGTTTCTGTGTTATCCTCTTGGTTGGAAATCCTCTCAAATATTTCCTTGTTCGTATTTTACCCATATAATCCGAGAGCCCATTGAGGTCTCTCACAAAAGGTTTAATGGCGGCAGCGAGTAGGTGGGGTGTCCAACCTTCAAAACCGCAATTCTTAAGTGTCATACCAGTGCGTCTGGGAAGGGACACCGCCTAATTTTTTTTTATGTCTAAGTTCATTAGAACGATCATTCCAACACCAAACAGTCATGAATGAGTCTGCTTTTGCAGAATTTTAACTTACGAATAAAAAATCCCGTGCAAAATTCACTTAAGAACGGCAAGTTAATTGCCGATTTCTGCACGGCATAAAAAGTATTACGCAATGCACACCAAAGCATCGCTACCCACGTACTGCATTGCAAAACCACTGCAATGTAACATAGTGTAATATACGATATTATGCATTAATATTATGCCGGCCCAAATATTCGAGATAGTCATGATTTTGCGAATTACGCAATAATGCAACCTATCACGTTATTAAGAAATAAATGTCCGCGTTAATGGCCCAGTTAGTCAATTCTCATGGTATTTAGATTTTTTGACGATGTATCAAAGCCTACCTGATACATGAATGGACTGTAAAGCAGACTCACTAATGGCGGAGCCTGAATTATTAAAGAGAGATACATTACGAAGAAGGCCTGAAAGCAAGCAAAAGATTTAGGATGTATGATATGGCGAACACTTTAGTATGCCGGGGATCCTAAGGGCCATTTGGATTTTCTCCCCAGTTTGATGCGAGTCCTTTTCGGCATAAAAAAGGATGATACAAAATGGCCGGGATTCGATGATTTTCCCCTTTAAAACCTGCTATTGAATTGGACACACCAAAGAAGCGCTGTTCTAAACGGGCATGTTTCTCCACTCATCCGGAAAACATAGATCCCAACTAACGGAAGGCATACGCATGTTTAATTAAAGTAACACATTTTTTTTTACAGCTGTCCATGGAGTGTTAAACTTTTCCAACCAAAGGCGCACAGTTTCTTAAAAAAGAAAGTAAAAATAAACCACCGCAATATTTCATATATTATCAGATCAATACATTCATGTGTATAATGGTTCATATATAGGGCCTATAGAGTGATTCTTGATTCAAGACATTCTTTGATTTTGATCGAAATAGACCATGGGACTGTTATGAATGTGTACTTTTAAGTGGAGGAAGGGGAAAACCTATATATGTATAATTATTTGTTTATGAATTAAATGATTGATACCAAAAAGTACTAATGAGGCCTATACATAATTATGCATCAATCGGAACCTCTACAATAAAGTGAGATCAGGAAATGGGAGTGTTTCTGGGGGTTTAGAAGTTTTTGAAAAAGAATGAATAATTCACAAATAATGCGTTGTAATTCCAAAACTGTGTGTTGGGGAATGGATGAGTCGATACACAATTCTTTGGTTGAGGACTGTGTTTACCGTGACTGTTTATTCCACAACAATTATGTTATTTACACATTGATTGATTGAACGAACTGGTTACAGTGAATTGAGACAAAGAGAACTGCATGGGTGAACTGACTGGATGAGCAGAACGAATTAAACTGACTACATGATTGGAATTGAAATAGAAAACAGAATAGAATAGAAATGGAATGAAGAACTGCTAGTGGAGCAGGACTTATATACTGGTGGAAACAGGAAGTCTTGAGAATAAGAAATACTTAAGAATGGGAAAACTTAGTCATATCTTGGTTTCCTTGAGTCTCAGAAAAATGACTAGGAATGAGTAACATAGTTCCTTAAAACAATGATCTTGAAAGTAACTTGGTTGTACTAAGAAACTGACCAGTGACTTGTGTGTGGGCAGTGAAGGTCATTTGCTCTGTATAAAAGTATAGGGACTACACATTGCATAGGCACTTTGTGGGTGTATGTGTATACAAGGAAAACGATGAGTAATGCATTCAGGAGAATTAATCATTAAAAAGTTCAAAAGGAACATTGATAATTAAAGTGTGATAATTAACTAAAAATTAAGACGAATTGATAATTAAGAATTGATAATCCGAAAACGCTACATGTGTAACACTCTGTTATTTTACAGTACATGTGTACGGTACGTGTTTATTTTTTAAAATACTGTCATGGTATTTCGCGATTTTTGGGGGCTGTTTTGCAAACTGATACGTATGCCTCAATGCTATTACGTAATTTCACAAAAAAAAAGAGTTAAGCCCGGTTCATACTCTGCGCGAAAGCGAAAGCGAACGCGACTTGTGACGTCGTGGCAAGTATTCGCGCTGCGAATTCGTAAAAGTTGAACATATTTCAACTCGGGCGAATTTCGCAGCGAATGTTTTATGACGTCGAATTCGCTTCGCATTCGCTTTCGCATGAAGTATGAACCGGGCTTTACGGTTTTGCGTTATTTCGCGGTAAATAAAGCCGTTCTCAGATTTTGCACGAGTTTTTTATTCTTAACTTGACATTCTGCAAACGCTGACTCGTACACTACCGTTGGTGTTGGAATGATCGTTGTGCTCAATGTTTAAGCACATAAAACAAAAAGCACCTTAGAAGGCGGCCAATTATTGAACTTTAACTCGTTCTTAAGCACAAAATGCACGGGAGAAGCTATTCTTAAGTTGTGGATCTTGCATTATAGTCACAAGCAGCTTATAGTGAAGGTTTCGCTCTTGTGCTCAAAAGTTTAATAACAGTAAATAATTAGTGCTAATTAGGCCATTCTTAAACATGGATGCACACGGGATTTCTCATCCTTAAGTTATTGGTTATTGATAAATTATTCGAAAACTATCTTTTCGCTTTGAAACCGTGCTTGCGCGCGACATTCTAATTAAAAGTCAATTTTTTTTTGGGGGGGGGTCTTTAGGTGGTGCCCCCTCCGAAACGCACGGGGTGTGTCACTTAAGACTGTTTTGACGGTTGGACACCCCCACCTACTCGCTGCCACCATCAAACCTTTTGTGTGCGATATTCTAATTAAACCTTAATGGGCTCTCGGACTTCTGCCACATCAAGAGTTCAGCAAGGAGCAGTGCTCGGACCACTACTGCTGACTTTACCTGCCGAGCAAGTTGACTTCACAAGTGAGACTATTCGCTGACGATTGCCTAGTATACCAACAAATATCACCTGACAAGGACACCTCAACTCTACAAAACAATTTCAAGTTGCTCGAATCATGGCAGAATGAATGGCTCATGAACTTTATTCCATCGAAGTGCTGTACTATCACATTTGCTTGCCGGAATCCTCGAAAGAGATCCTACACCTTTTGTGGGGAGCAACTCACATCGAACACAGCTTGCTGCAGCCCAAACCCAGAAATTTCTCGGAGTCATCAGGCGGAATATGTGGAGCTGCCCAGAAGAAGTGAAATCCATGGCATACCTTATCTTTGGAGTATGCAGTGACTGTGTGGGACACACACTGAGTGTAATATACCGTAACACTAGACAAAGTCCAAAAATATGCAACAAGATTCTGCACAAAAAAAATTACAGTATAGGAAGAGGGAACAGTCACTGGAATCCTGGAGCACATCAAGTGGGGAGACATGGAAGAGCAAAGGAAGATACAAAGGCTGTCGGTGCTCTACAAAATCAATCATGAGCTGGTTTACATCTCACGAGCAGATC